AGAATCGGAGGAGGAGGAAAGAAGAGGAAGGGATCAGATATTTAAATCAGAAAGAATTCCAAAATGCCCCCTTTTTTGATCATTTATTTGATGTGCCCTTACTCTAAGAGTACTTATGCTATTTTTTGCCTGGGCGATTGAGAGACATTTTCACGAGAAAACTCCATGGCATTTACGAGTGTCACTGGTTTAGTAATATTGTCTTATATATAAAAATTGAAGGATGCATAGGAAATACCAGGAAACAAATGCCTGTGGCGATCTGTGAGCACAAAATGACCACATCGCTAGAGAAAATGATCCTGAGAGCCACGACCCGAGCCCTTGGCTGGTGGCGCCTCATGGCTTTTAACAGAATCTTTGTCTTTGTGCTTTTAAAGGTCAAAGAACGTTACTCCCCACTCCTGTACGAGTCTCAGCAGCTGTCAGTTCCGCTGGAGGAATTAGAAAAGCAGATCACGCTCTTCTATGACTCACTTGGGAAAGTCAGTGAGGTTATCACAGTGCTTGAGCACGAGGCGCAATCTAGTGCTCTTTTTAAACAAAAACACCAGGTAAGAAAACGTCCCTTTCCGGAGACACGGTTATTTTTAAAGCATGTGTAGTAAAATTGAGGTAGTGCTTATTTATAGACATTCTATACCCAGGAGGCTAGCACATAATGCATACTCTGTAACTGGTAGCAGTTATTATTATTGTTATTATGATTATTAATTACAGAGAGACAATGATTACACTGCCAAACCCTATTCTAATGAATTCTCATCATGTTGAATAGAAAGATTATTTTCTATTTTGAGCCATAGTGCCATTTCTTACATTCCAAAATTGCTATAAATTGGCATCAAAGAATCCTTCCACAATTAAAATACTTAATGTTGAGTAATACTGATATTTAATAATATGTCTTTAAATGTTACCTCCTAAGTCTTCAAAAAACCAAAAACGTGTCCTTATTCTGTTCTGCCAAAGCAAAACCAAAATTCTGCTCTAAATATTTGAATCTAGATTACCAAAGCTTGTATCCAAATTAGCCATTTGAAATATTTTTCCGAAGCAATTGAGGATGTTGAAATGCAAATGGATTCAAGTCAAAAAATGACTGTAGGCCTGGGCTGGGCTGGACCTCTCCCATGCAGTCCGCTGCGGAAATCACCATGCCTGGCCACGGGTCAGAGGCGGAGGGCCTGAGTCACATCGCTTCTCGTCCTGTCAATGTGTGTCCATTGCGAGTCCTCCCACGCCCACTGGTCGGCTGCCACTTGTGGTTAGGATCTGGGGTTCGGCATTTTATCAATGAGGTGGTTAGCTTGTGAACCTTAGAATTCAAAAGGACTCCACACAATTTACACAAATAATACACAATCTGCGTCTGACTCAGTCAAGTATGATGTGCATGGTGCTAACTTCATTTAGTCAGACTCTACCCTGCCCTGTAGGTTGATCTCATTATTGTTTGCTCAGTACACCATAAGCCTGTTATTTGGTTGGACAAATGTAGGTACCGGGCAAATAACAATTTTTGATGCTCCCACTTTCTCCTAACGTTAATAAGATATTATTATTAATTAATAATAATAAATAAGAAATATTTTTTTTAAATCTCAAAAAAAATGTAAAAAGCCCAGATTTCAGTGATTGCTTAACATTCTGGGGTGAAAAACATAATAACTTCTCTGTGCTTTTGGTTTTGCTTATTGCTGGTGAAAAAGCCTAAAGCTGTATCATGCCGTTCTTGCTATTTTGTAATGATTCCTCTCTTTCCTTCTCGTTCTCGCCCTTTTACATTCTATTCTGTGGGTTTCCTTCCCGCCTAGGAGCTGCTAGCTTGTCAGGAGAGCTGTAAGAAGGCCATGGCACACATTGAGAAAGGCAGCCAGGGTGTTCAGAAGTTTGTGACCTTGAGCCACGTGCTGAAGCATTTTGATCAGACGAAGCTGCAGAGAAAGACAGCCGAAGCCCACGTGGCCTTCCAGGTGAGTCCTCTCCCCCTGGGAATGTGAGCGGGGACAGGGCCAGCTATGAGGACACAGAGCCATCACGGGTCATGCTTTCACTCTTGCTCACTGCCTCACCCACTGGTGTTTGGAAACCAACACTTCACTGATTTCTCTAATATGAACATCCATTAATACTAAAAGGGGTTCATTCTTATTATAATGAAATGTATTCCTTCCAAGTGGTTTTTAAAGAAACAATGCTCCTTAACAAAGTGATACTTTAACGAGAAAGCATCCCATTATGATTATTTTTCTAAATCAAGAATATGGTCAAGAAAACTGGAGACTGGAAGAAACATGTGGAAACCAACAGCCGCCTGATGAAGAAGTTTGAGGAGTCGCGGGCGGAGCTGGAGAAGGTGCTGCAGGTGGCACAGGAGGGCCTGGAGGAGAAGGGGGACCCGGAAGAGCTCCTGCACAGACACACTGTGAGTGCATCCCTGTCACTGTGCAATCTGGGGTCAGGATCTCCCCCTGGCCTTCCAGAATGTTCCGCCAAATCTGAAAACTGAAAATATTTTTTTCTAAAAATTACAAAGTACGGGTTGAATGTTGGATGTGGGTGGCTTCTGAGTCATAACTCTAGATGATTATAGTTCATTCCTGAAAAAAACACACACAAAAACAAGAGCAGTTGCTGGGAAGGTTTGGCGAGGGCAGCAGCTGGCTTGAGGCTTGCTCAGAGGGGTGGCTGCTTCTCTATGCTTCTCTTCCAATGTGGCCCTTTTATTTCCCCCCCAACCCCCACCACACACACACACACACACACACTCTCCCTCTCTGTGGCAGGAATTCTACGGTCAGCTGGACCAGAGGGTGCTCAACGCCTTCCTGAAAGCCTGCGACGACCTCACGGACATCCTGCCTGAGCAGGAGCAGGCGGGCCTGCAGGAGGCGGTGAGGAAGCTGCACAAGCAGTGGAAGGTGAGGGGGCACGGGAAGGGGTCCTGGTGTCATCGCGGATGGAGGGAGGGGCAGGAGGGCGTTAGGGTTGACTGTACGAGAAATTAAGAAATCCAGGAAACTACTTTTCCCATTTAAAAAAATGAACTAGAATGGAGCACGATGAAAATTATAGAATTCCATTATTCCTATCTTTCAGTAACAGCAATTTGTGATCAGAGGGTACTCATGATGTCACTTGGCCCTAAAGGGGTTTTGTCACTGCAATCGGAAATGTACAGAGTCAGTGATGGTATCGTATTCTTCCAAATCTTTCTGTGCAATGTAGGATCTTCAAGGAGAAGCCCCATATCACTTGCTCCATCTGAAGATCAAGGTGGAGGAGAATAAATTCTTGGCCTGTGTGGAAGAATGCAGAACTGAGCTGGCCCGGGAGACCAAGCTGGTGCCCCAGGAAGGCAGTGAAAAGATGATTACAGAGCACAGGGTGCGTCACGCACCCCCGAGTGCAGTCACGCAGTCACGTGGTCACTTAAAGGACATGACTGATGCTTTGGGTTGGGTCTGGAAGCACCGAATGGCTTAATTCCTTTACAGCGAGAGTCTAAATGGAATCTTCCTTTTATGTGTGCGTGTGTGCATGTGTGTGCATATATGTGCACACATATGTGCATGTGTGTGCACATGTGTGTGTGTGTGTGTGTGTGTGTGTGTGTGTGTGTAAAGATAAGCCTATTGGATGGCTCCTCACGGGGATTCTATAAATGTTTCTTGCCCGTTAGATCTTCTTCAGTGACAAAGGGCCGCATCACCTCTGCGAGAAAAGGCTGCAGCTCATTGAGGAGCTGTGTCTGAAGCTCCCAGGCCGGGACCCAGTAAGGGACACGCCTGGAGCCTGTCAGGCGACGCTCAAGGAGCTCAGGGCTGCCATCGAGAGCACCTACACGCAGCTGGTGGAGGACCCCGACAAGTGGAAGGACTACACCAGCAGGTAGTCTTGGCGTTGTTCCCAGACAAGGACATCGTCTATTTTAGTTGTGTTAATTCATAGACTTCTACAAAACAAGAAATGACATATGGTCCATCCTATGCAATGAAGAAAATCAGATTGTATGGCATTGCCCAGGTTCTTATGTAAAAAGGCTTCATTCAATAAAAAGAGCTGGTTTCATTCAGAAAAGGTGAAGCACTTCATTTTCAAATGACTCTTTCTCTCTCTTTTTTCTTCCTGATTTCAGAGAAGAAGGAAGAAGGAGAGAGAGGTAGAAACATCAATGATAAGAGAAAAATCAGCTGCCTCCTGCACAGCCCCCAGTGGGGATCGAGCCCACCACCCAGGCATGTGCCCCCACTGGTAATCAAACCCTGACCTCCTGGTCCATAGGTTGATGCTCAACCACTGAGCCATGCCGGCCGGGCAGGTGTGATCTGCTTGAGGCAGCATTGGTTCATGTCTTTCTCTGAGATTGCCACATGTCCCCGAAGGGGGACTTCTGATTCTTTAAGGTTATGTCTCACTATAGTGGGGACATGTGAGATTCTGTCCTTGCCCCCAGGTGCCCAGGCCGGGGACAGACACAGCTCTTTCCTCAGATGAGTTCCACCTGCTCCACCTGTTCTTCCCCAAGTGCCTGGGCACAAAGGTGGCCACGTCTGCCCAGAGCTTCATGTTTCTTTAAGGAACAGTTTCCAGAAAATCTGTTAATCAATTTGCTAATCACTTGAGTGTCAAATTTCCATGAATGAATTCAAACTAGAAAATGTAGTGGCTCAGTGGTTGAGTGTCGACCTATCAACTAGGAGGTCAGGTTCGATTCCCAGTTGGGGCACATGCCCAGGTTGTGGGCTCGATTCCCAGTGTGGAATGTGCAGGAGGCAGCCGATCCACGATTCTCTCTCATCATTGATGTTTCTATCTCTCCCTCTGCCTTCCTCTATGAAATCAATAAAAAATATTTTTTTTAAAAAAAAATGTATTCTAACCATCCTGAAGTGTTCTCTCTTTAATGAGATAATGCCTGTGTCGTTTCAGAATTTCTGAGTTCTCATCTTGGATCGCTGCAAAGGAGACACAGCTGAAGGGGATTAAGAAAGAGGCCATTGATACCGCCAACCATGGAGAGGTGAAGCGGGTGGTTGAGGTAAGTCCTGGGACACTATTTGTCACTGGAAATATTCCACTAATAAAAACAGGGATAGACAATCTAGCTGGTGTCTTTCTTACTTTCTATAAAAGATTACGTTCCTGAAAACTAACTCAAAAATAAGTGTCCTTGTGTTACTGTGAGAACTACAGGGAGTTTTTCTCTGGAACCATTGTTGGTTCTGAGATTTAGTCATGCTCACTGGTGCCTTTAAGGCATCTCTCGCTAATGGGGAGTCCTGGGGGGAAAGTGCATGCGTGGGTGCGTAACACAGCAGAGGATGAAGAACTGCCACTGGGAACAAGAACGCTGTTGGCTTTTTATACAATGCATTCAAGAGCCAGGTCACAGGAAATGAGGGGTTTGGACAAAGGCAATGCTATGTCACAGTCAGCCTGGATGGGGACAGCCTCAGACCCAGCCATGACAGGGCCTCAGGTCTCAACCAGTTTGCATCCTCTGTATGGTACACAGCAACCCTCTCCCTCTTAGCTTGGCTCTAAATATCACAGATACGCGCTATTGTGAATATTCTTTCTCTTTCAGTGGTTTGAACCCCTGCAAGTCACGTAGTTGCCGTTAATGAGAATATTTTTTCTTTCTGTTTTCTCTAAGCTTCATATTTTATATCAAAATTATAATCCCCTTAAATGCTAGAGGTGCTCAATAATGTCATGCTCTACCAAAGGAAGGATCTACAGGGGTGGGTAAAAATAGGTTTTCAGTTGTCCCTATGGGTAAAGACACGCAGGTGGTGATTATACAATAGTGTCATTAACTCTGTGTTTCGTGCACTCACAGCTATTAACCCACTTTTTTCCCACCGTGGATTACTACTGGTTGCCATTATGGTACAAAAATAATTCTCACTGTAGAATGAAAAGATCACTTGTTTCTGGAACCTACCATTTTCTGGCTGGTGTGCATTTGCCCTATAAGGCCCTCTGGAACAAAACATGTGGTTGGAGACCACTCTGCCCTCACACTGCCCGGAGCGGGTGGAGGAGGGAGAGACTGCCCGAACCCCGTTCCCTGGGTCCCCTGCCTTCCAAGGGCCAAAGCCCAAGTCTTTCTGGCTTTGTCTTGGCCCACAAGCCTTCCTTTCCTGGATTAGAGTCATGATCCGGCTTGTGTATCTTACTATCTAGGCTATTGACTTCTAAAGGCTAACAAAAACAAGGCATAAAATATGATTTAATGAAGTTAAAATAAATCTTTAAGTTTTCTATAATAGTATTCAGCAAGTGACCTCTTCAATAAAAGAATCAGCTAACTGAAATAAAGATTCTTTTTTTCTTTTCTTTGAAAAATACCACATTCCTTCCAGCTTACACAAAGCAAGATGACAGAGTATATTATATACTATAATTCCCAATTTTGGTATTAGATAGTCTTCTACAGTACTTTTAGAAGGGTCCTTGTTGGGATCCAGGGAATCTGTAAATATCTAACCATGTAGTCATGAAGGTAACCTTTGGTTTAGAGAGTACTGACTTTACACATGAGGTATTGGCCTTGGAGAAACAGTTCCTCCTCATACTTGTAGCCTTTTGTGAAAGATCTGAACAAAGTGAAATGAGCAGGCACTCGACTGGGGAATGAATGCCTGGCATTCCTACCGGCCCCTTACATACCTTCTCAGGTGGAACCCTTTCTTGCTGGAAAGTTCTGATGCACAATTGTATTTTGTTCATCGAAGTGTTCCTTCATTCCAGGAGATAAGAAATGGTGTTACCCAAAAAGGCGAGACTCTTGGCTGGCTGAAATCCAGGCTTCAAGTTTTGATTGAAGTTTCTTCTGAGAAAGAAGCCCAGAAGCAGGGGGATGAGCTGGCGAAAGTCTCTAGTTCCTTCAAAGCTCTCACAGCTTTGTTGTCAGAGGTATATCATTTATTCACGCTCTATACAGTTCTGGGCGAGGAATCTGGAAGGTTCTTCCTCTTCTGGTTGCAGTTTAACAAGCAAGTTTATAAAGAAATCTTAGTTAAAATAGAATAGTTGATACTTATTTATATAAATATTGGTAGAAAAGATGAGTAGGAAGTTTGAGGTATGGTCTGTGCCATTATCAGATATATTATCAGACAAATATTAGTTCCGATTAATGATCTATAGCTGAAATACAAAGCTTATCAGTTCCATAATTTTTTTACTCTTAATAAGAGCATTATTTCATAGTCAGTTTAAGGAACATCATGGAGGTTAAGAACTCAGGCTTGTGAGTCAAGCAGACTCAGAGTTAGTGTTTAACTCCAGTACCACTTTACATAAGTAAGCTTGTCATTTAATATCTCTGGGACCTTGTTTATCTTACTTGTAAAGCAGGGCAAAAAAATATGCCAAAAGGTCATTTCAAGAGTTGAATGCAATCATGTATTCACAGCACTTAATACAGTGTCAGAACAGAATACATGCTCATAACAGATGCCTGGCAGTAATGAGCTACTCAGTGTTTCGTCTGCGGCCCCGTAAGATCTTTTAGGTAAAAATCTCCTCATTTTAAACTTCTTGGTATACAGTTCAATCTTTATATTCCTTTATAGATTAGAATATACAAACTCATCTGCTTAATTTCTGATTGGGCTACTTCTACCCTCTGCTAGAATAGTTTTACTCACCAGGTGGTTGTACAAGTCTACTGGGTTTGTGCATGGAAAGTAATGTAAGAATGTAAAGTAGAATAGATAGTTATCACTATTTTTCTTGAAATCACTAATAAGCTTGCAGGAAATAATGATCAACTGAATGGCTACAAAGTGCCTTGATCTGAAGATCTGGAATTCTTCCTAGCAATCTCTAATGTAACAGTTGGCGAGTTAACTTTTTATACTTTTAATCCATGTGGATCTGCTTAAGACTCTAGTAGTGAATTTGCATAAATCAAAAATACTCTGAACTGCTTGTGACTTGAGTTTTATGTGATCATTTTGACATGTAGCATATAGTGTTCTTAAGAATTTTTTTGACAAATTGAAAACAATAGGATTAATCAAATTTTGGAACATAAGCCATTCAAAGCCTTTGATGGCCCTTCTTTCATAGCAGAAGACAAAGCTGAAAATTGAAGAAAATGACAAGGAAAAGAATCCACTAAGGAACCACAAAAATCAGAAATTATATTGATGCTTTGCCTGAAATATTAGAAGTGCATTTTTAACAAATACCCTTTTTTTTCTTTGTCTTCTATACAAAATTTTTCTTACTTTAAATAGGATACACTAAACTTTCTTACACCACAGGGTTTTTTTTTTAATGATTTTATTTTAGTTATAAGATTTAAATGAAAGCGGTCCAGGAGACAATATATACAATATGTGCAGTTGTATTACCCTGCCTTGATTTTGGGGCTGAGCAGGATTTTAATATGCCACACAGCACCATAACAAATGATCCTTGCGACTCCCATAATTGACTATGCAGTTAATAATAATAAAGAAACTTTAAAACATTTGAAAGAATAAAGATTAGGGATCTGTGCATATATTTCAAGTTGTTGAGAAAGACTTTACACATATTCTTTAAAAAATTAAGATTACATGAGCATATGATTTACAATATTTTCATGAACACGTAGGTTGAAAAGATGTTAAGCAGTTTCGGGGACTGTGTCCAGTACAAAGAAACCGTCAAGAGTTCCCTCAAAGAGTTAATTTCTGGTTCCAAGGACGTCCAGGAGCAAGCGGAGGAGATCTTGGACACGGAAAACCTGTTTGAAGCGCAGCAGCTACTTCTTCATCACCAGGTAGAATGGCCCTTCTCCCAGTGCATTTGTGCAACGTTGATAGGTGATTACTGATACCAGAGAGAGGAGTAGCATGGAATCGGAGTGAGGGATTCGGGGTGAAGGAAAGGGGAGGGATGAGCAGGAAGGAAAGGAACTCAGCTGAATGGTTAAAAGGAAGCACTTTTGGTCTCTCTCTTAAATATAAAATATTTCAAAGATTCTGCAAGACAAATTCTCAGCCTGAATGGTTTGAGGACATCAAAAAGTTCAAAACATATTGTGAAGGGAAAGTTGGTTTTGCTATAAAAACCTTTATACAACTTGCAAATTGTCTGTTTCATAACAGAGATGGGAAGCATGGAGATAATTGCTTCCTATTTGAGCTCAACATTCTTTTGTCATTACATAAAAAAAATCTCACTTTTCAATTTATAATTCTGAATACATCTTAGTTTGAGAAATTATGACTTACATGGAATACTAGATCTTTATGGAGAGCATGCTTTATAGGGGTAGAACTGGAGTAAAGACATTTCTGATATATATATAAAAGCTTAAGTGACCGTTCCACTGTTCAACCATTCAACCAGTAGCTATGATGCGCACTGACCACCAGGGGGAAGATGCTCAATAAACAGGCATGAAAACATGGAACAGACTGATGAATCTCAGAGGGAAGGGGGGAAGGGGAGGGCAGGAAGAGATTAACCAAAGATCTTCTATGCATACTAGAGGCCCTATGCATGGATTCATGCACTGGTGGGATGCCCCGGCCCGGCCTGCGGGGATCAGGCTGAATCCATGCACAAATGCTCTGACATCCCCCAAGGGGTCCCGGGTTGTTAGAGGGTGCAGGCCAGGCTGAGGGACCCCACTGGTGCATGATTCTGTGCACTGGGCCTCTAGTATATTGATAATCTGCAATTTTAATCAGTGTCACTTGTCAAACTCAATATAAGAGGAAGTATAATTCACATAAAATATTTAATGGCAAAATTCTAGCTAACTGCCCTACCCAGTTTGGCTCAGTGGATAGAGCATCGGCCTGTGGACTGAAGGGTCCCAGGTTCGATTCTGGCCAAGGGCACAGGCCAGGGTTGTGGGCTTGATCCCCAGTAGGGGGTGTCCAGGAGGCAGCCGATCAATGATTCTTTCTCATCATTGATGTTTTTATACCTCTCTCCCTCTTCCTTCCTCTCTGAAATCAATAAAGAAATATATTTTTTAAAATTCTAGCTAACTTAGTGTATAGCAAATGGTAGCTAATTATATATATGTAATATATAAAAATTAAAATTACACTAAAAGTATATGTAAAATGGCAGCTTTTAGGCTTTATGGATATATTTAATAATTATAAAAAACTCTGAGTATAAAAAAGTTCATGCTTGGTAGTAACATTGTTCTCAATTATTGTAAAAGTTGTGTTTGGGTTTCAATTTAAGTCAGAGAAATATGAAATTGTAAATATTTACATTAATTTTTTAAAACTTCACATTTCTTGGGTCAGGTGCTTGGTTATATGTGTGTTTATTTGTGAAAATTAATGAGCCGTACACATGAGATTTGCCTACCATTCTGTTTGTACATTATAATTCAATAAAAAGTTTATTTTAAAACATGACTTTCCCCAGATTTCTCAGCAGATTAATCATTCTGAATATGCATAGGAATTACATTTCTTAATATTAGCATTTCTTAGAGCAATAATGATTTTTAAAAATGGACTTAGGACTTCATGTGTTTAAGCAGAAAATAATTATTTTAGGAGAATCAATGCAAATGAATAGCTTTGCCAGATTCCTTCTGGAGTATTGCACAGAATGCTAAATGTTGTCTGAATTTGCACATAATCAAAACACCAAGACCAAATGCTGTCGTTTACCATTGAAAACACAAAATATTTATAAATAATGTCCATCTTTGAGTAATGCACAGTCTTCATTGCTGTTTTCACTATTCATGTTGACTTTAAATAGAGTTTGGGTCCAAGCCCTGTGAGGTCCTACCATTTTGTATCTCCCCTAACGCTTGGGCGCTATGTCCCTGCCTAGTGGCTTAGAGTAACATGTATGTCCACCCTTGAACAAATGCTTCCAGCAAAAGACAAAGAGGATCTCTGCAAAGAAGAGGGACGTGCAGCAGCAGATGACGCAGGCCGGGCAGGGAGAAGGCGGGCTGCCCGGACCAGTGCAGGAGGAGCTGCGGAAGCTGGAGAGCACCCTGGACGGCCTGGAGCGCAGCAGGGAGAGGCAAGAGCGCCGCATCCAGGTAGGAGCCCGGAGTCCAGAGCTGGGCAACTCCCGGTCACAGGTTACATCTCCTGTTGGGAGAAGATGCTTGTTTCCACCCCTGATGCTCCCACATTGTGTTAGCTATTTACCTATTTAAGCACCACACCAGCCCTGTGCGATGGGTGGTATAATTAGCACAATTTGCAAGTGTGGATGCTTAGAAAGGAAAGAGTTTGAGCACCTGACTCAAAGTCACAGAGCAGTGACCCACAATAAGCCAGGATTTTAATTCACACTTGGCTGAATCTAGAAATTGACACGGAATTATTTCTCATTTCTGTAGTCCAGTAGCCACAAAGTTATACTTTATTGTGATCTTGGCACATTACCGGAAATAAATTTTTTGAATTTTGCCACCTGCTCACTGCAGACTCCCTCTTGTCCCTTCTCTCTTCCATTCTCTTCTTCTGTCCTCCATTGCTTCTTTCTTTCTTTCTTTCTTTCTTTCTTTCTTCCTTCCTTCCTTCCGTCCTTCCTTCCTTCCTTCCCTCCTTCCTTTCTTTCTTCCTTCCTTCCTTCCTTCCTTTCTCTCTAGAATCTGGAAGACTCTTTTCCTTTGTCCTTTATCTACATTTTAAGTAATATCCTTAGATGCATAGGACGTTACAGCTGGTAGAAAATTCAGAGTCCTCGTCCACACACACTCTTTTTGTAGATGAACTAAGACTCAAAAGGGAAAGTCTTTGTAGAAGCCATTAGGATTGTCTTTATTGAGTATAATGTGTGAAATTTGAACAGAGTCAACGAGAAGTTGGCCGCCTGACAAAGAATAGAAATGTGAACAATATTTTGTGACATACTCTGATAGCTCATAACATTATATGCTGTTTATTTTTTCAAATGTAGGTCACATTAAGAAAATGGGAGCGATTTGAAACCAACAAAGAGACAGTGGTCAGATACCTTTTTCAAACAGGTTCCAGCCACGAGCGCTTCTTGAGTTTTAGCAGTTTGGAAAGTTTGTCTTCAGAACTGGAACAGACAAAGGTACATCAGTAAGACATGGAGTCCCTTGGTACTCATTATTTGGAAGAAAAACTGTGTTACTCCCTATTACTATTAATCATTATAATTATGCATTTAATCAGTACTTATTGTTTATTGATCATCCACTCTTCAATACACTGGCCAAGTTTCTCTGAGGAATGAAAACATAAATAAGATTTAAATACCAAGAACTGAGAGACAGTTTTCATTAAAGCAGGAAATAGATTCCTAATAAATAAATGCAATAAAAGAATTCTGAAGGCAGTGATACTCTTCATGATGAAACTCGGACACTTGACTAATTGTTTACAGATGCTGCTGCACAAACGCCTCTAAGCTAGAATCATTGTTCTCTATTGCTTTGCTCACTTGATATGGTTAATGCGGCCTTCATTCCGGTTGTAGCCCTGGAGTGGTTGTGCTAAAGAACTTGAGTGCTTTCTGTCTGCCAGTATGTGGGAGGGTGCTCATGGAATATCATGTTTAATCTTCACAACAAGGGATTGCTGGTGAGTTACAGAAAATTCAGAGACTTATGTGGCTCAAGGTCACATGACTGGTGAAGGACAGAGCCTGGTTGCAGATCCAGGCCTTTCTGATGCCAGAGTCCTCTCCTTCCTGCTACACCCTGCTGCCACTCACACGTCCTCTCCTCAGGATATGGATATAACGCCTGACAATGTTATTCTATTTTTGTTTTATTTGCTCTTTATCAACACCATTCTCTTCTTTGGATTCCTTTGTGTTGTGCTTGCTCCATACATATACCTCTTACAACAGGCTCTGAGACTAAATGCATATAAACAATTTCAAACATAACTCTACTTTCTCCATGGTTTTTTCTTGGTTCTGGGAAACATTAAGGGGGGAAAAATACTATTTTTTACTTCTGATTCTATTCATGGGATTCTGAAGGATTATGCTGTGAAGTCAGTCTTCACAATTGAATCCGCAATAACTAAGCTTATATATATCAGTAGTGCAGTGAGTGGTTATAAGCTTAGAATTCAGAATTGTGACATTAGCAAATACTGTATTTTGTGATATTATAAAATATCTACTACTAGTATAAGGAAGCTTTACTTATTTTTATTCTCTTAAAATGCAGGGTACTTCTCTGAAATAATGTTGATAATGTTGATATTTCTATGAGGACATTAAATCTTTCAAATGTGAAGTTATAATAGGATTTATGTAGTAACTTTATCTTATATGGCATTATGTAATAATTCTGGGAGATGCTCTGTGGGAAAAGATGGCTATTGAAAATCTGACTTTAAAAAATTATTTTACATTAGGTTTCCACATTACCTACTTAGTAGATGGTGGTTTGTGATGAAAATTTAAACCTCCTGTGAGATTTTCTTACATGAAAAAAGTGAGATTAATTTTTTCACTCAAGATTATCCTTTGGTTTACATTTTAAAATTCAGTAGTCAGTAGTTCAGGTAACCACTAAAATTTACCAGTTGCCTCAAATATATTAAATTAATTTTTGATTTTTTGAATGAAAATCATTGTGTGAATTTTATAAGCTATTTTGTCCTCAATTTTACATGAGGGACATAAAACATTATAATAGGTACTTGCCAGAGTTCCAGGTAAGTTAATAACCTACCAGAAAAGCATCATGGCATTTCATACGAAAGAGCCAGAACCTGGAAAGTAATTCACCAAAATTCAACAACTAGTAATGATCAAAGCCAAGATTCTGGTCCATGTATGACAGTTGTAAAACTTCTTCTTTCCACCATGTGGTATGTGGATGTATAGAAAATAAGTTCAACACTGTTAACATTAGATTATATCTCTTTTCGGAGAACTAGTTAACAAAATGCATCTTTATAGTAAATTAGAGGCCCAGTGCACAAAATCTGTGCATGGGCAGGGTCCCTAGGCCTGGCCAACAATCAGGGCTGATTGAGGCCTTCCAGCTGCCAGCCAGGGCCTTCCTTCATTCCACACCATCCCCTGGTGGTCAGAGCACATTATAGCGAGCAATCAAATTATCGGTCAAACTCCCCAGGGGATACTTTGCATATTAGCTTTTATATAGATAGATAGTAGTGATACTCTGTATTGACTCAGATAGTTGTCAATTAAATAAATAAATATTTATATTTATTGCCCTGGGCAATTATTATCTCTATGACTGAAAAAATCAATCACTATTGATTGTCCTGATTATTCTGAAGTGTCCTGTGATAAACTAACATATTTGTGAATAAGTTAATTATTATAATGCAGCTCAGAATTCTAAACGATAAACCCAAACCAGGAAACAGTGAAAAAACATTTTTGTGAGAATTGTTAGATTACTGTGAAGGTATATATATATATATATATATGTGTGTGTGTGTGTGTGTGTGTGTGTGTGTGTGTGTGTGGTTGTGTATATAAAATGAAAATAGCAAAGTCTCTTCTGGCCATGATGAAAATACATCTGTTTTATGGCTCAGCATATAATATGCTAATACACATGCATTTGTGAATCTACCCATCCCTCGAATCTGGGGGAGACTCTGCAGTACATATATGCAGTTTATTTAAGGGCAGAGTTTACAGGAAGTCGCCTTCCTAACAGTTCTCATATATCTCATATATTTTTCTAGGAGTTCTCTAAGCGGACAGAGGGTATTGCAGTCCAGGCTGAGAGCCTTGTGAAGGAAGCTGCAGAGATACCACTTGGGCCCAAGAATAAGCAGCTGCTCCAACAGCAGGCCAAGTCAATCAAAGAACAAGTCAAAAAGTTAGAAGACACCCTCGAAGAAGAGTATGTGCTTGACACGCCCTAAACTTTCGTCTCTGAGATAACATTCCGCAGACTCTTTCCTGTATATTGTATTCCTCACACTCTTTATAAATCTTGAAGTGTCTGTGTAGTTCAGCATGTTTTGAGGAAGCAACTCCCAATTCAAAAGACAGTACCGCCAACACGGAAGCCAGCATATAACAGAGCAGAAACATATCAGGGATGTGGCCTTTGCTTCGGAAACGGGTTCTGTTTGTGAAAAAGCCATGCCTGTTAAAGTCCGTGGCCTTTATACATTGGAGAGGGAATCTCAAAAAGGAACTGATATTGAAAACAAATGTTTACTGTATTACGCTGCTGTCACCAGTTAGAGGGAAGAGGAGATATTTTGGTTGTGTAGGTTCTGGGCTGAAATACATAAGATATAGTCCAAATGTCTTCATCTCCAGGCTCACAGAGCTTGTCAACAGTGCCTCACTATTCAAAATCCACTGATTGATATTCTACTTCCAAAAATTAATTTTAAAAGTCTACTTTATATTTAAATATTTAACATATGTTCACTTACAAAAGGAAAGAAAGAATTGTTTGGCCTATGGTATCCTGTTATGTACAAAATGTACACACAAAAACTTTGGAGGGAATAGACATGAGAATATGGCCAATGTTCCTCAAAACAATATGGCTGAACATTCCTATTTTCAAAGTTATTTAGTGGCAAATCACTGACACATCCTTAAGGTATAGAGCATAATTTCTTAGATGGATTTTTAAATGTAAAATTTGTTTTTATACTCTTAACACTTTGACATTAAGATTGTACATTGCCTAAACTTTAAAGGTTGTTAAATAATATATTTAGAGGAAATTATTATGACTTTAAACTTTGAAAATGTTAAATATTAAATACTATTCATCAAGGTGTGGATAAAGTAAAACTTGGAGTGTATTAGGAAGGAAGCTACTTTTATGAGGAATGTCCGTTTGAATGCATCTTTATTTAGAAACGTGCACTATAACATAGTTTGCATTTCCTGTACTGATAAGAACATTAGGCACATACAGGGTACATATTTGAGATTGCAATATTACTTAATTGGACAATCAATGATGCCATTGTATTTTTTTCTTGATGTCTTCAAGTGCCTTTCGGTAAACAGGAAAATTCTTTCACTTTTTTTTTTTTTAGCAAAGGGATTTACCAGTGCAATGATAGACTATGAGTTTCTTACTCTTTTTCTAAACTGAAAGCCATAATCACATGGATACATATGCATAGCTAATACAAACTGGAAATCTACAGCTAAATTTGTATTCATTAGATTTATTACAAATAAAGCCTCAGTTGTCTAAAAGCATTTAGGGTGCTCATGTACAAGGATTTATAAAAGTATTTTGGAATCAAGACTGTAGAGACACCTGAGAATAGCTGATGTTATTATAGATTATAGATTGAAGACTTAGCTCCAATGATAGAGCAGTTCCTGCCTGTCAACATGGAATTCAAGTTACAAGCTCCGTCTTGATTTAAAGATGCCTTTTGTAAGGGTCCTGGAGCATCAAGCATCGCTGTGGTCCCTCTCCCCTAAGACAGGAGGACCGTGCCCACAAGAGTAGACAGCTGCAAACTGTGTGCACTACGTACGCAGGCAGTTTATTTAAAAAAGTTCTGGCAAATACTTATCGTGCCGTTTCACTAGACGATACCTGTATTCAATCCCCCTTGCACCCTGAAATATTTTGTTCGAAGCACAGTTCTATTCATAGCATGGTGCAGAAGCTATTTCGTTAAACGCTCATTCTCAGAGGAGATAGGAAGACGACAACTGACAACTAGTCGGACCAAATGTGCAGTTTTTCCCTCTCCTCGTAGTTTCAACTTTGATATGGTCACAAATGTCTTAACTTATCTTTTCACATAGTAATTTAAGGGGAAATATATTGCTGTTCTTTATTAAAATACTGCATTTTATTTACTTAATTTGGTTAATTTTAGTATTAAAACCATGGAAATGGTGAAAAACAAGTGGGAACATTTTGGCAATAATTTTGAGACCCTGTCCGTCTGGATAACTGAGAAAGAAAAAGAACTCAATGCCTTGGAAACTACGCCATCTGCCACGGACATGCAAACCAACCAGATTAAGGTGACCTGCTCACACGTTCGTTGCATTTATAATCCATGTCTAGCTTTTAAAAACTCCTTTCTTGCATTTCATCCAATGCTCTTTGGCCCCAGGACAAATCTTTCCTTGCTATGTGACTCTATTAAAATTAAATTCACACAGATTGCTGAGCTAAGAGGTCTTGATTGATACCAGGCAACTGCTTATAGATGGAATTATGTGTTAATATTGTCTGACTTAAGCATCCAAAGCTAATATTGTGTGCAATACCATTAAAATGATTTTATGGTTACATTATTTTTTTCCTTGATTTTGAATTAACCCCATTGGAGTGCTCTGTTGATTCATTTGCACAACATGAACTGTATTCTTCATCTACAACTGTGCTTACAGAATTATCCCAAATGTCAAGAGTTAGTAATATTTACCCTCACAGACCACAAGGAGGAGAAATTAATTTATGTGAAGCAATCAGACCCATTGTTCCGATTCTTTCATTTATGATGACTTTCAGGGCATGGACTAGACTCTGTGATATCTGAGCCCCAACTCTAAAATAACCATGTGCATAGACTGTCATTGTTCGCTCCATTCAAACAGTTTAAGAAAAAGATGGGCTGAACGTAATGAATTCTGAGGTCCGTTTCTCCTTTTTTATATGCAATTTTTACACATCACATTTTTAAAATTCAGCCACTTCTTTTTCTATCTCAGCCTATTTTATTGGAAAGGGGAAACCCTCTGACATTTCATTCAATTAAATATAGTGAAATAAATAGCAAGGTGAGGGAACATTTCACATTATGACTCAGAGCAAGTCATCGCCATGTGCTCGGTGGGAGGGTGCGATCTTGCTTCGCGTGGCTTACATGCTATGCAGATCATCCTGGTTTATCACACGTCTTATGCAACCGAGGCTACGTGCAGCCTGGTATGTACAAGTATGGTTATATGTTGGGTGATATAGTAGGAAAAGCAGATGTTAAGCCATTAGGAATATTCATGGAATATGTTTACTCTTTAAAACTATTTTTGCAAAGTTGTCATTTAGTCATTTTTGCTAAATTCTGAGAAAACAAAGAATAACACACTTAAATAGTTTTGTCTCAAAATTGTTCTTTCCAGAATTTTAACATACACTTTCTAATTTGCTTATGCTTTCTATTCACTCTTTTCACTATTATTTAACCTTAATTCCAGGACTTTGGAGCTATATCACTTACCAAACATCATTACATTGTTACTCTTTAGGAAACAAAACAATTACATATTTTATTTTTAAATATATAAACATTCAATTGTGGATTTTCAGTCCATCAGCCTGGAAATACATTTTAATATTCCAATGTGGCATTTTGGAAACTATTTTAAAATGTATTGAATGAATATGAAGAGCAAGAAAATCATTTGCTGGAAATAATCAAAGATAGAGTGAAATGCACTTTAATGTGGAATCTGGGCTAATAGATGCATGTTCTATTTCCACATAGAATTAAATGATTGGAAATAGTAAAAATATGGCAGTTATTTGTCATGTTTTCCATTGAAAACAACCTCAGGATAAAACTAATTCATAACATTGCATAGTTGTGAAGATATTTATCTACAAGCCCACTTTTAGTCTTCATGACATGCTATTCCAAATGAACTGATTTCTTATTCCTAATTGATCATTTATAGGTGTTAAGAGCATATACTGGGTTCATCTTCTATCTTCTCATTCTGGATTATATAGTTTGCCTATATGATTTTGCTGATGACATGCATTACACTAAGAAATTACAACTAAAATTGTTTCATTGAGGTGTTGCAAGCACCTACAACAATTATTGACACCTAGGAAACACTCAATATATATTTGTTAAATCTATGAGTAATTTTTCTTAAAAAATATCATTTATAAGCAGTAAAACAAAGGAAGAATTATATTTATGCTCAAACAACAAATACCTATCAAGTGTGCCACTGCAGTCATGCATATGGGAAGTAAAATAAGTCATATACTCACACTAGTTATTTCTGATTTGCCTTATCTAGACAGAAATTATCTCTATGTTTTCTCATTTAAGCTTAAGTCACATTATCTTTTTCTAGAGTAACAGTATTTTTCATTTAAATGATTTGAAACAGATTGTCTGAATTTTTTTTTTTTTTTGCTTTATTTTGATTGAACGATTTGGCTCTTTTCCTCAGAGAAATAATTTTCATTTTCTTCTACATAAATAAGCCTCTATGTTTTTGAGAGACAGATAGACACTTCCGGTCACATATACACACACATCCTTAATGGCTTTCAGCACTTTTCGGGCGTTGGCTAATACATAAAATGCCCACAACTGAAATTGTGGCAAGTAGGTGCATTGCTGTAGAGCTCACAGCTAGTGAGTAAAGCAGTGGCAATAGAGGGGGCCAGGGCCAGCAGTAGAGGCGTCACCTGAGGAATTGTTAGAATTGCAAAGACTTGGCTCCCCATTAGAACAACTGAGCCCAAGTCCCTGAGGATGGAGGCCAAGTGATCTTAATGTATTCCAGACTTGGAATATACTGGCATAAAGGATAGATGATAAATGTGAAAAGACTGGGTTTAGGTCGGAGTGGAATCAGATAAGCTTGTAGTTTGGTCAAATTTGAAATACTACATTTTAGGAGATTTAAGCGAATGCCAATATTAGCATTCCTGTGAGTGATTGGAGCACACTCCTTCTCAGATCAGTTGGTTAAAATCCTTGATTCATAGGGTAAGCAGGGAATTCCAGCTGCCTTCAGCGTTCCGAGGACATCCCTCTGCTTACATCACTGCAGGCAGGAGTAGCTATTTCTCTTCATTCTCCAACCAGCGAGCACAACCACCCATGTATATTTCAGACATAATCTGCATATCTGTCCTCCAAAAATGAGGTCAGCAAACACATGGGGTTTGTTCATAGCTGCTCCCTGACCACCCCAATACATTGAAATGTCCGTTTTCTCTCTGCAACATTTGCATCATTTCAGGAAGGCAAGCTTGCTCAGCCTGCGTTGTCATTTTTCTCGTTTTGAATACTAGGTCACGATTCAGGAAATAGAAAGTAAGATCGGCAGCATCACAGGGCTGGAAGAAGAAGCGCAGTCTTTCGCCCAGTTTATTACCACTGGAGAATCAGCCCGCATCAAGGCCAAGTTGACACAACTGAGAAGATACTGGGAAGAACTTCGAGAGCACGCACAGGGTCTGGAAGGAACAATCCTGGGACAGGTCTCTCAGCAGCAAAAGTTTGAAGAGAATCTTAGAAAGGTAGGAATTGGCCCGTGCATGCTACAGTGACCTGTTTCACACACACTGCAGTTATAGGGCAATGCAGTAAAAAGTCCAGAAACAGTGGAATAAGGAAACAACACAATTTGCCAATTATTTACCAAGTTGTCCATGATGCTTAAGTTTATAACTATTTTTATGGCACATTTTTGAGGGAATAAAAAAAATGTCGTTATACATTGTGTTCTGATAGGCATTAAGACTTATTTATATTTCTTTGAAATAATAGGACACATTCATTTAGATTTTTTTAAACGCATTTTATCAACACATTGAAAGTTATCCAAAAATGATAGGCATGCTGCTTCCCCAATAACCTTTCTCGTCTTGATGTATGTTTTTCCCACCATTATTTTGATATTTCACCAATGTTTTAGGCCCAGCAGTCTGTGTCTGAATTTGAAGATAAACTTGCCGATCCAATTAAAACATGTTCTTCAGCTACAGAAACATACAAAGCTCTCCAAGAACATATGGTAAGAGTATGCTTCAACATTTCTGCCTATTTATCAACTCGGAAACTTGATAAATCCTGCTTGAAAAGGAAACATAGTAAACATTTTTATGAGAGTTAAAATTTTTTAAATGTTTATGTTATATGAGGAATGATATAGATCCAGCATATTTACTTCATATGACACAAGAAATATAAGCATGCAAGTGAGTTTTCATGAAAACGTATGTTAAAGAAGTATCCATTTAAAATATATTTCTCTCTCTCCATGGACATGGACAACGGTGTGGTGATTGCGGGGTGGAGGAGGATGGGTGCAGGCGGTGGAAGACAGGGAGGGGATAAGAGATGAAGGAAAAAATTAAATTTTAAAAAATACCTACTTTGTTCCAGAAAAAAAAGTCTCCCTCTCTCTTAATTAGAACATGTAACTTTTTCATATCCTAGCTTTAATAAATCCTGCTACCTCTTACCAGCATTATAAAAATTAAATGTGCAGAAAAATATACATGTGCAGAGCAGATTTCAGATTTTAACCCGCTAGACTCAAATGTGCAGAGACTATGTCCCCGCTCACCTTTTCGCAGTGACTGGCGTTTTTGGTCTGGTCCCTGAACTGGTGACCGTTGTGAGATGTTTTGCGAAGGAACAGCAGATGCTTCTGGCAGAATTCAGGGGAAGGAGCAAAGGAGGAACATCAGGCACAAAGAAATAGTAAAACAAAATATCTGTTAATTAATAAACAAAAAAAGTATGTTATCCCTGTTACATGTGCATGTGTACACACACATACATACATGTGGGAAAGGGCTGCAGGGACAGAAAGCAGACAACTGGCAAAGGCACATCTGGGAAGAGGACAGGAACTGACGTCATTGGAATTGTTATAATTAGAACGTGTTTTTGTGTTACTGATGTCATTTTTTAAAAAGTACCCCCAAAATGAGGAAAATTAAGTTAATTGAATTTCATGGAATTATTTTAATAGACAACTAAGTCTATTACCAGAGAAGATAATATTCTATTTTTCTTAATATTTAGATTTCTGAAGCCAGTTATTTTCCCCTGTCTTGACTTTCTGATTTGTAAAATGGGGCTATTGAAAGAACATAACTCTTAAGGGTCTGATGGAGAGAAAATGAGTTTGTGTACGTAATGTACATAGCACAGAACCTGCCACATTCCAAGGCTACTTATGGTTATTATCATAACTAGGCCCAGTGCATGAAATTCGTGCATGGGGGGGGGGGTAGTCTCTCAGCCTGGCCTACACCCTCTCACAATCCGGGACCATCAGGGGATGTCCGACTGCCAGTTTAGGCCCAATCCCTGCTCAATCTGGGACCCCTGGCTCCTAACTGCTGGCCTGCCTGCCTGCCTAATCACCTCTAACTGCCTCTGCCTGCCTGTCTGATCACCCCTAACCACTCTGCATGCCTGCCTGATGCCCCTAACTTCTCGCCTGCCTGCCTGCCTGATCACCCCTAACTGCCTCTGCCTGCCTGCCTGCCTGCCTGTTGACCCCTAATTGCTTGTCTGCTTGCCTGATCGCCCCTAACTTCTCGCCTGCCTTCTTGATCACCCCTAACCTCCTCTGCCATGGATTCATCCAGAAGGATGTCCAGAAGGTCATTTGGTTGTCTGGTCTAATTAGCATATTACCCTTTTATTATAAATAACTATATGCATAAAAGATAACAGCTACATCAGCTGTACTCTTCCAATATGTTTTTATAGAAATTACTGCATGTTACATATAGCTCTTGAAAATTTAGAATAGAGTTTTTAAATAAATTTCACATAAAATGAATAGTAATTTTCACAAATTATTTGACTTGTTAAGGAAAAGTAGACATTATTCAGATATACAGCAGCATAGTTTTATTGGGGCAGTAGTCTCTTTGTTTTCTTTTTTTTTTTTTGAAGTAACTATTTTATATATATATATTTTTATTTTTTTATTTTTTTTTATTGCTTAGAGAGAGAGAGATGGAAACATCAATGATGAGAGAGAATCATTGACTGGTTGCCTCCTGCACACACCCACTGAGGATTGGAACCTGCAACCTGGGCAGGCAAAGGGTATTACATATGTGTCCATTTTTCCCCCCGCCCTAGACAGTCCCCTAGCCTCCCCTATCCCCCAGTGTCTTATGTCCATTGGTTATGCTTATATGCATGCATACAAGTCCTTTGGTTCATCTCTTACCCCCCTACCTCCTGCCCCCCAACCCTCCCCGGCCTTCATTTTCATTCCTGCATCCATGAAATAACTCTCTCCTCACTCTCACTGTATCACTGGAAATCATGGTCAGACAATTTTCAGTGCCGTTGTTGTGTGTTATGACTGGGGGACAGGTTTGGCGGGAATGGGTCTCAGAGGAAAATGGTGGCCTCGTTTCTGTCTGTTTTCATTGCCCTCCTCTTGTCCCCTCCCCAGGACCTCTGCCAGGCCCTGGAGGCCCTGAGCAGTGCCCTGGCCGCTCTCTCTGCTGGTGCCCAGAAGGTCGTGAGCAGAGGCTGCTCCGTCCAGGAGGCCGCGGCCCTGCAGCAGAGATACCAGGGGCTGCTGAGTCGGGCGAAGGAGAGACAGACGGCGCTGGAGGACCTGCTGGCCCACTGGCAGCGGTGAGCAGCCTTCCTTCTCCGGTTGCCACCTGGGCTTCAATAGCCACTCTTTTAAAAAAACAAGTTTATATTCATTTTAGAGAGGAAGGAAAAGAGAGGGAGAGAGAGATAGAAACATCAACGATGAGACAATCACCCATTAGCTGCCTCTTGCATTCCCCTTACTGGGGACTGAGCCTGCAACTCAGGCATGCGCTCTGCAGGGGAATCATAGCCGCAACCCCTTGGTGCATGGGAAGATGCTCAACCACTGAGCAACACTGTCTGGGCAATAGCCGTATTCAAATAGGAAATTCCGGGCCAACTGTGCTCTAAGTGATGGGCAATAATCATTCCAGATATAAAACATGTCAAGTCATGTTTTTAACATGGGAGTGGACAGGATGTACCAGGTACATGTATCTTTCCATATTACACACATATAGACATATGTGTGAGAACATATGTGAACATGAGAGGGGTGGTATTTTCACCTTCACATCTAGGAATAAGATAACCAGCGTTGTATTATTTGTATTGCTTAGTGTTGGACCCTCCAGCTGCAAAAAGACCTTGCTTTCTGATATGATAATTTGGATGCATTTGCTTCCTGTCTCTGCTCTCTTTAGGCTTGAGAAGGAGCTGTCGACCTTTCTGACCTGGCTGGAGCGCTGCGAAGCCATAGCCAGCTCCCCGGAAGTGGACGTCACTGCAGACAGGGTCAAAGTGGAGAGCGAACTTCAACTGACACAGGCAAGCTCCAGGAAGTGTGGGGGAAATGACACGCTCTTTGTCGTGGCTGCATTGTAAAATAAGAGCAAACGCAAGCCCTCCAGCCAACTTAACTTCTTGTTTTGGTTTTGTGATCCCACAAAGAACCATCCGCACCCGAAAGACAAAGTGTTGGTGAACTTGGCGATGGCCGATTTGATGATGTTATTGTAGGGAGGAGGATAAAGCATTTTGACACGCACCTACCATGTGCCAGCTATACCTACCATCCCCGTTAACACCATGCTATGCTGTTAGCTATCTATATGCGTGTTTACCTCTTATTAGGTGGGAACCACAACTTTATGCATCCCTCACAGACCTAAGAGATTTATTGCCTGATGAAATATAAAAGACAAGTGGATCAGCTGCATGAATGTAAAATGAAGAGCACTTAAGCTCCCCAATTTGGCCCAATATTCTCTCTAAACAGAGGGAGCCCACATCCCTGTTACCTAGAATCGCATCTCTCTTATTGCTAGGCATGCATTTTCTCTGTAGCAATAGTTCTCCTTTGATTCTCTACCTGCTCAGTTTCTTCATCCTGAAAGAAACCCTTCAGCATCTAAATGTGCCTGACAATGTATCTCAGACCCTGGAAAACGAATTCAAGTTTCAGTAGCCTTTTAAATGTTGGTTTAGAGGTGAAATGGGTTCCTTTCTCAAATAAGGAATAAAACTTTCTATAGTCTAGTCCCCATAGCTTCCATTTTGCATGACTGCAGAGCCTTTGGATAACAACCTCCAAAGGTCATTATGTGTCCTGTGGCCCTTCCTTGTCAATCATGTTGGAATGAGATCTATAACGTGTTCTGTGCTCGGCAGGCACTGCAGAGTGAAGTTGTATCCCAGGCCTCCGTCTACAGCCACCTTGTGCAGCTGAAGGAATCACTGTTCTCAGTGGCCTCCAGAGATGACGTGAAAATGATGAAACTACATTTGGAGCAGTTGGATGAGCGATGGAGAGTTTTGCCACAGATACTTAGCAAAAGGTTGGGGTTTTATAAAACATTCCAATAGTGTGCATTTTTTAAGATGGTGAGCCTGTAAACTAAGAAAGCATAGTTTTGTTTACTTTTATTTAACCCAACTATTCACAGGATAATTATAGGAGGGTAGAAAACCACTGTACTTGCCACTTTAAAAATCAAAGCACTCAAATATTGGCATTTCTGATGCACCGCAATTCAAAATTTTAGTCTCATAATCAGGGCAAATGACCAAAGTAGTTGAACTATAGTAAAGAGAGTAGGTTTGCTCATGCTTGTATTACATATTGCTTAAGCTGTTTGTGTACAGGAGGAAATGGTAATTAAAATTTTCTTTCTCATGATATTTCTAAGCAAAGGCATCCACTCACCTATTATTAGTCAACCTGGTTCATTTATTACACAAGCAATGGTTGATCCCTGACCATATCCCACACCCCTTTCTAAGTCCTGGGGATATAGTAGTAAGCAAGGCAGGCAGAGTAATTAAACAAGTGAGTGAATGATGCTGTTTCAGTTGGTAAGTAATGTGAAGACAACAACACAGGGTAACATGGTGGGGACTGTAGGTCCGGCACAGCCCCCCAGGTACATGACATCTAATGCCGATCTGAACACTGTGCAGGAGGCAGACTCATGGTGCTTCAGGGGCAAATGACAGGGGCAGAGGGCATAGAAAGGGCAAAGGCCTTAAGGCAGCAATGAGCTGGGACGTTGGGGAAGCGGAGGGAGTGGCAGTGTGGGCGGCCCTGGATCAGATGAGGTCAGAGAAGTCGATGATGAGGGACCCCTCGTAGACCACAGTAAGGAGCCGTGGCGTTTCGCCTTCCTGTGTACCCAGGGAAGTGCCCGCGTTTAGGCTTGGCAGAGGGTGTTCTGATGACATGGAAATCGTTCCTGGCTGCTCTCTAGAGAGTGGATTATAGTGAGGCCATGGTGGTGGCAGGAAGGAGGCCAACTTAGGAGGCTGTTGGAGGCCAGGCCAGAGATGAGGCGATGCAGACCAGGGCGTGAAGGTGGAGAGGAGAGCCCAGCATGCTATGATGGGCGCCCAGACATGCACGGAGCAAGTGTGGTGGTGAAGAAATGGAGGACCATCTGGGTGGGCAGCACCATCAGTAACTGAGACGCAGCAAATTGTAAGAGAAACAGGGTTGGAGACATAGGAAGCATTGAGTTCTGGTTTGTCCCTGTTGGACCACATTAGTTTTGCCAGTGATTAAGCTGATTCCAAAAACATACCAACTCTTCCTTTCCACTGCGGGACATTTAACTTTTATTATTTATTGATTTATTGATTTATTGATTGATTGATTTTTAACTTTATTGGGGTGACATTGATTAATAAGAGAATAGAGTTATTGTACGACGCAGCAATCCCTCTCCTGGGTATAAACCTGAAAAACTTGAACACCTGTATTGGCCCAGATACATGCACCCCTAAGACACTCCACCTTTCGCACCGCTCTCTTCCTAGACTTCACTTCCTGCAGTCGGTGGTCGCCGAGCACCAGCAGTTTGATGAATTGCTGCTTTCCTTCTCCGTCTGGATTAAGCAGTTTCTCAGTGAATTACAAGCCACGTCTGAGATCAGCTTCATGGACCATCAGGCAGCTGTAACCCGGCACAAGGTAAAGTGCATTCCTTGAAGAGGGAAGAAGCATTTGTTCATCACAGAGAGCTCTTCCATTTTAAAGGAAAGCGAATTTATAAAAACCCTTGCCAGCGATTTAACATTGTATTTCTCCATAAATGTTCTCACAATGTGTGATGCAGATAACTTAAGCAGATAAAGCCACTTCAGATCACATACCTTTTTTCACAATGGAGCGAATGATTTCTAGGGTAAAGTGATGAGAATGTTCATTTGTAAGCTTCCCAGTTTGTTTTGGTCCAATGCTAAAAACTAATGCTGAATCCCAATGCTTTCACAAGATGGTTTCTCTGAATTACTATTTAGCTTGGAAGTTATTTAAAATTTAGTTTTCTTATTTCTAAATTATGCATAATATGTATCCTGATATTTTTTTTAAAAAATTAAAAATCAGATATTGGTCATCAAGTATTGGAATAGTCAGGGTAAGCTCCATGATAAGCTTATAACAATATTTACCGATAATACATTTAATGTCTATTGCGTGTTCACTCTATGCTGGGCTTGCCAATTGGGTTTACCCAAAGGAAAAGTATGTTTTCCTTTCTTCATGACCGCAGGTGGTTTTACAATTTGGAGCAAGATGTTCACCAAAGTTAGGCTCCCACCCTCTTAAAGACAGGAGCCAGGGCGCCATCTTCCTGGATGAGTACATTTCAGGGGGATGACTCCCAGCTGTTTGAGAAAGTTAGTCTTCAGTAGTAAAAGTGTCCAGGAGGTTTTGAAAAGATTTACCTCTCAAAGGGACAGAGAATGAATTTGTAAGTTTTCTAAAGTAAATGCTCAAAGAAGCCCTCTAAAGTTTAGTAGCTCAGCTGAGGGAACTATTAGGGCCATTCTGGTCACGATTAAGACAGGTGATTATTTCTCTTTTGTGGAAACCATGCTGAGAGTGTTAGCAACCCTCTGATGGGTTTTAACCATGATATATTGTGAGCTGGTCACGTTTTCTATACAACAGCCTTAGCCAGTTCATCTACATTTCCTTAGAGAGAAGGCAGCTAAAACTTGTGCAGTTTCATCTGCTTTATTCACACCTCTGAAAAGAGGCTCGCGTCTGTCTATTCCCACGCTCCTTCACTATGTTAGAATTAGCTGGATTGTATGTATATGTATATGTATGTGTGTGTATATACATGTACCTATAACATATCTTTTAAAACCTTACAAATTTTCATTTTCTTTTAACTGTATATACTGTAACTATGCCTTTTAACTATATATACATATATCTTTTAAAATCTTTCAAATTTTATACATATGCATATATACTTTTTAACAATTTATTGGGTTGACATCGGTTAATAGGAGCATATAGATTAACTATTGCTATCCACAAAGGAATTCTTTTTCATGGAATACATTAGTACCAAATCAGAGTTGTGACTTATATGAAATACATAGATGAGCAAAACAAGAGAAATCTTTAAGAATCTTTCTAAAAGTTTCATTGTGGGTGACCTTTAAATACTATACCATGCATTGCATTTAAAATGTATCTTTTTAGATTTTTATTTATTAACTTGATTGGGTGACATTGGTCAACATGAACCTATAGGGTTCGGGTGTGGGTTTCTGTGCTACAAGACTGTATATTGCACTGTGTATCTTGACATCACCAATTCTGTAACATGTCTGTGTCCAAAACCACAGTGTCCCTGAGGAACCAGTGACTCTCTCTTCCCTTCCAGGACCACGCAGCAGAAGTCGAAAGCAAAAGGGGGGAACTGCAAAGTCTGCAGGGGCACCTGGCGAAGCTGGGCGCTCTGGGCCGAGCGGAGGACCTTCACGTCCTGCAGGGCAGAGCAGAGGACTGCTTCCAGCTGTTCGAGGAGGCCGGCCAGGTGGTGGAGAGGCGGCAGCTGGCCCTGGCCCAGTTGGCTGGGTTCCTGCAGAGCCACACCTCTCTGTCAGAGGCGCTCCGCCGGCTGAGGCAGACGGTGGAAGCGACCGACAGTATGAGTAAGAAGCAGACTGACTTATTACAAAAGGACCTGCATGACGCTGTTCAAGATGTGAAGACGTTAGAATCGACGGCCATCGGGCTGGACGGCATTCTTACCAAAGCCCAATACCATCTTAAATGTGGGAGCTCTGAGCAAAGGACTTCCTGCAGAACCTCAGCTGATCACCTCTGCTCGGAGTTAGAGAGGATCCAGAACCTTCTGGGAACCAAGCAGAGTGAGGCAGACGCCCTGGCAGCATTGAAGAAAGCATTCCATGACCAGAAAGAGGAGCTGCTGAAAAGCATCGAGGACATCGAAGAGCGGGCTGACAAAGAGCGTCTGAAGGAACCCACCCGCCAGGCACTTCAGCAGAGGTGGGAGGAGGCTGCCGAAGCCGTGGCCTCAGCTACTTTTTATTTGTCCTAAGATTAACTCTTGTGCAAAACTTTCATAGTACCAGACTTAGCAGCGTCTCTTTTTATATTTTTAGGATAAAACTCATGACTAATTTGACACTTATGGTCTTAAAATTTATTTGGGTTCGTTGAGGATTTTCCTAAGGGCCTTGTGTAAGCCACTCTGAGATCTTATTTACCACAGAGTATGTAGATCATACTGTGTATTTTAACTGATAGAAGGGACTCCTGTTCTGTAACAAGAATGAAAGCAGAGGAGGAAGGGAGGGATGCAAGTAGACTTGTAGTTCAGGTGCTAAATCTGAAGGAATTCTTCCCTGGTGGCTGCTAGCTCTCAGAAAAGATGGAGCAAATTCGTTCATTGAGATTGAGTGACAGGAGATGTGGACAGAAAAGGGTGTGAGATAGTCTTCTTACAGGAGGAAATGGAATTATGCCTGTGGAGCTTGGTAAGATGATAAACTGCCATTTAAGATTTGTATTTATTCACTAAAAATGAAGCCAATCAGCTTGGCGGAATGGTTCTTCTAACCACTATTTTTTAGAAAATATATTTTTATTTATTTCAGAGAAGAAGGGAGAGGGAGGGAGAGAAAGAAACATCATTGATGAACATTTTCTCATGATAACCTTCAATAGCGTATGTAATTTAGGTTATATATATATAAAACAATCTATATAATAAAAGCCTAAGTGACCATTACAATGGAATGACCAAAACGACTGGCACTATGATGCACACTGACCACCAGGGGGCAGACGCTCAATGTAGGAGCTGCCCCCTGGTGGTCAGTGCGCTCCCACAGGGGGAGTGCCACTCAGCCAGAAGCAGGGCTCATGGCTGGTGAGTGGCAAGTGCAGCAGTGGTGGCAAGAGCCTCTTCCGCCTCAGTGGCAGTGCTAAGGAGCAGCAAGCAGGCAGGCGGTAAGGAGTGAGAGGTCCCAGACTGTGAAAGGGCACAGGCTGGGCTGAGCACCCGCCCCCCATGCATGGATTTTATGCACCAGGCCTTTAATATATAAAACAATAAAACTTACAAAAGGGAATAAGTATATGAGAGAGAGAGAATGGCTCGGTGAAACTTTTTATTTTATGAAACAACTATGGTTCTTAAATATTATTTTACATGAGTTAGACCTCATGGCACAAAATATTTTTATATCAATAACTTGCAGTAAGAACTCACCTCCTTTGCCTACAAGGTCATCCCTAGTTTTAGAAGTCTTATACCATCAAAGGATAATAGAAAGAGAATACAAACTTAGAAGTTTGAAGGTGAATAGTGAAACTGCCTTTAAATGTTTTCTGCGGTGCACTCTAAAGTATGCAAAGTTAACTGTAAAAGCATCTTTATCAGTTGACAGCCATCCATTTGATTGCTCTGTTACTAGTTTTCTAGCTCTCAGTGTGTGTGCTTTACGGAGAGGAAATATTGGTTTGCGACCTTTAGTAAAACCACACTTTAATTCACAGGTTGAGAGTCTTCAATCAGTTAGAAGATGAACTGAATTCTCATGAGCATGAGCTGTGTTGGTTGAAAGACAAAGCTAAGCAAATTGCTCAGAAAGATGTAGCCTTTGCACCTAAAGTTGATACAGAGATAAATCGCTTAGAGGTCACCTGGGATGATACCAAAAAGCTCATTCATGAAAAGTAAGTCAGAAACTTCTCAGTTTTTGTTTTTCAACTTCTCCCTATTTTGTGACATTGGGCCATGCCTGGCGATTTGCACGGGTGTGATCAAGCATTGAATATCTTTTGTCATCTTTAGCATTCTGTGTCTTTCGGTAACAATAAGAATTCAGTCCTACAGAACTTGACTAAGGAGGCTGCTTTGAGATAGCATTTACATGTGAAATTCAATGCTTAAACGCAGTTGTCAAGTTACCAAGTGCGACCATGAGAGTCTTAACCTCCTGATTTCCTTTTTATTCTGTTTTGTTATAGTTGTTTGTAACTGAGGTATGACTGACATAAAGTAAAATTCACTCTTTTAAATATATTCAGATATGCTCAATTGATTTTTTTAAAAAAAGGCAATCTGATGAAGAAAGAATAATAGTCTTTTCAGTGAATAGTCCTGAAACAATTGGGTATCTATATGCATTAAAAAAATATATATATAAGTTTGAGTTATCCAGAACATATATTGCATTTTTGCTTATTATTGAAGTCACAGATTTTATTTGAATGGCTGTGTGCATTCTTCATTCATGAGGATATTTGGGACATTAGAGTTAAGTAAGATCGACCGTCACTCTTTCACCTTGGTAGGTATAGACAGGGTTTTCTCTTCCATCTATTAATATGTGTGTATACATCAGGTCCAGCCATAGAGAACTCTGCCCTTTCCTGATACCTGACAATAAATGATGTCTTTTCTTTGATCATTGCAGCCAGGGCCAATGCTGTGGGCTTATTGACTTAATGAGAGATTATCAGAACTTGAAGTCAGCTGTATCTAAAGTTCTAGAACATGCCAGCAATGTGATCGCAACCAGAACTACCATAAAGGATGAGGAGGATCTTAAATGGGCCTTATCCAAGGTAGTAATTCAAAATGTATTTATTTTAGTAGAACACTTTATTACACCTGTTTTTTTTACTCACAATGTATTCACTATACAAATCTTGTCAGTACAGTTAGATGTAGATGATTCATGCTAACAAGCTCAACTTTTTTTTGAGTTCTGATATCCTAGGATTCTAGCAATTCAAGAAAATTAGTATATATTTGTACAGTTTATTAATATCCCTGGTTTCTGCATCAGGTCATCCAATAATTAAATTTCTTGGAGGCAAATGGTTTTAAACTCTTAGCATTGATGATTTTATTAATTAAGGAAACATTTCTGTTCACAGCATGAAACTGCCAGAAACGAAATGTGTAAGGAGCAGAAAGAATTGGATGACTTTACCAGTAAAGGAAAACAGTTGTTATCTGAGCTGAAAAAAATTCACAGTAGTGACTTCATCTTGGTGAAAACAGACATGGAGAGCACTATGGACAGATGGCTGGATGTAAGCTCATCACCTTGGGTTCCATGAATAGTTTAAATATTCACATTTCTGAATCTCATTTTGGGGCAAAGGATTATTGAGGGATGTAAATTCCATTTTCAACTTTTAATGCTAAATGCAAATATAATATTCCAAAAGAAAGTAGTGTTCGCATAATTTTTAGAAATAGTAAAAAAAACTATTTGCTTTATTTTGTTAAAACTTATTGGCAAATTTTCTAGAATTTTACTTGACAGCTTCAAACGTGACAAATTTATCATCTGCCTTCTCAAGACTCTGGAATTATGAATAGAAATAAAAGAATAATGTATAAACAGCCTACAGACTATTAACCAAAATGTATAATAATTTAAAGTAAGAAGATGCTTTAGCATTGAAAAGCATTGGCCTTGTAGTTTATATCCTTGGGTTTTAGTTCCTGCTCCGTCATTTACTGGCTATGTGACCATAGGACAGGTCACTTGATCCTTCCGGAACTCTACCTCTCAATTCATGCATATTTTACACTGTTTTCCAGCTCCAGAAACCCAGTGGTTCTGTTGACCGCTATTATCAATATCTAGGCTCAGAATTTAAACCCATAGTGGGTTCCCTTACTTAAGCAAAGTCACTTAAGTTAGACATCGATATTTACATACTACAATCAAATAATCTGGGGATGTCGGAAGACCTTATATTCTTCCACTTTTAAAATGATATTCTTATTATGGAGAGAATATTAAGTAATAATACTATAGGCATGCAAAATTGGTTAATCTTCTATATATTTACTTATTCTATAAATATGTCCAAGCCTAATTATGCCCATTTTTATGTATCATCATTACAAATAAAAGGGCATATTGTATTACTTTAAAAATAAATATAATACTGCCCTATATGGACCCCTATCTTACAGAATTCAACCTTAGAGTGAGTTATATTTCAGGAGACCTGTTGTGATTACTTTTTCAATTTACAAATAAAAGTCAAATGTTTTAGAAACTCAACCAACTCTCCCAGTGACAGAAACAATTTATATAATAACATTTCCATAAATTGAGTTCCGTGCACTAGTCAGCTTACAATAATTTTTGTAAAACTTGGCTTTCTGATCAGATTACAATTTTCTGATTGAGGAAGGACTGACATTTTTAGTACTTTGGTGGGGCAAAGAGCATTTTTTAAAGCCTCAGACTGTTAATGATTTGACTTTGATTTTCTCTTCCAGGTGTCAGAGAGAATCGAGGAAAACATGGATCGGCTGAGGGTAAGCCTGTCCCTTTGGGCTGATATTCTCTCGAGTAAGGACGAGATCGAAGGCTGGTCGAACAGTTCTGTCCCTCAGCTGGCCGAGAGCATCAGCAACCTGAACAACAGCCTCAGAACAGAGGAGCTCCTGAAAGAGTTTGAGGTAAGTGAGCTACACCTTCAAATGGGAGCTGGTGATGTAGCATTGGCCAGAATACAAAAATATTGGTGTCCTTTTTTAAAAGTTCATTCTTTTTTTAAAAAAATATCTTTATTGATTTCAGAGAGGAAGGGAGAGGGAGAGAGAGATAGAAATATCAATGATTAGAGAGGATCACTGATCAGCCACCTCCCACACGCTCCAACCAGGGATCGAGCCCACAACCCGGACACCTGCCCCAACCAGAATCGAACCGTGACCTCCTGATTCACAGGTCGATGCTCAACCAACCACTGAGCCATGCTGCTCTTTGAGACACACAGGAGTATAATAAACAATCTTACTATCGTTTGCTATTTATTTGAAAGTAAACCTACAATTTTTCCATTCATCTGGGAATATGGCATCTTCTTACTGAAAAACCAAATTGAAAGTGATTGTCATTCAGTAATATTTAGTATCTATTTTTTTCTTCATTCAAATGAAATGTTTACAGAGGCCCTAACTGGTTTGGCTCAGTGGATAGAGTGTTGGCCTTTGGACTGAAGGGTCCCAGGTTTGATTTTGGTCAAGGGCATGTACCTTGGTTGCGGGCACATCCCCAGGAGGGGGTGTGCAGGAGGCAGCTGATCCATGTTTCTCTCTCATCGATGTTTCAAACTCTCTATCCCTCTCCCTTCCTCTCTGTAAAAAATCAATAAAATATATATTTTTAAAAATGTTTACTGAGTAGTTACCCTACACTGAGCACTTACGCTAGGAGCTGGTTTCCTCCACTTCCTTTCCAGAAACGTAAGGAAATGGAGATGGGAGTGTCACAGGCTTCCACAGAAAGTGGCCTTTTTAAAGTTCCAGTCACTAATTTATTTTAACCTCCTTTTATCCCCATTTTTCACGTTCACTTATTCATTCACTCATCACATTCTTAATGAGCACCTAAAATATGTCAGGCAGTTTTCAGACTGGAAATATAATAGTGAAACACACAAAGTCTTTACCCTCATGGTATTTATATTATTTACAGTTCAATATATATGATATGCAAAATGACAATCAGTAAGAGGGCTATGGTGAAAACTGAAGCAAGGGAAGGGAAATAGAGTGACAAGAGATCACTTGTTTCACAAAGCACACAAGTGACTGTACTCTTGGTGAGGGAGGGACTGTTGACCATTGGATTCTTGGGTGCCCAGCACTGTGCCTGGTATAGATGTGGAGTATGACAGATGTGTGAATAGATTACTATAGTCTGGCAAAATATATAGTGAAATCATCTGTATTACCTACCTAAGTTATTCAGCTGGGTTTGACCCAAAGAACATTCAAGAGATTATTCCTATTCCTAAGGGTAAACAGAAGTAGAGGAGAGTATTTAGACTAAAAGTACAGTCAGGGAAGGGCACCACAGTCCCTTTAGTTATCTTTGATGTTAAATGACCATTACAGCTCAAACTGTATATGGCATGTGCTGGAAAAGGGCTTGTACCTGCTTGCAAAAGTCAATTATTATATTTTCAAAAATCTTGCGAGCCCGTGTTAATCACAACCATTATTAAAAATGTAATTGTGCCCAGCCAGCATGGCTCAGTGGTTGAGCATCAACTTATGAACCAGGAGGTCACAGTTCCATTCCCAGTCAGGGCACATGACTCGTTGCGGGCTCGGCCCCCAGTAGGGGGTGTGCAGAGGCAGCCGATCAATGATTCTCTCTCACCATTAATGTTTCTATCTCTCCCTCTTCCTTCCTCTCTAAAATTAATAAAAACATATTTTAAAAAATTTCCATGTAAGTAACTTACAATTAAATTAAATCTATTTTAAAATGAAGGTAATGAACACTCAAAAGTTAAACCTTCCTGGCTATTATTCCCCTCTGACTGCTGCCTGGGATCTCGAGCTAACATTCACTCTGTCTTTCTGGTGGAAATACTGCAGAGGGTGCCCTGCTGCGGAGCCCCTCCAGCACCATGTGCGTGACTCCTGTTGTAACTCTAAATGGTGGTGAGCCTACAACTCAGGGCCTTTTCTAGGAGAGCCAGTCGTTAAACCCGCATAGTCTACTCCCACCCCTGACCTCTGGGGTTCAGGGAGCCAGTGGGCATCAGCCCGATATTCATGGGTCCAGTGCAGTCACTCACAGAGATGGCTTTTCTGTGGCTGCTGTGGCACACCAGCTCATACACTCAGAGAGCTGGACTCAGCCCCGTGCCCGAGGGTGTCATGCTGCTGCAGAGCAGGAAAGGAGGTGGGCGTGTGGGTGCGAGGCCTTCATTGTCCAGCCAGTTTCTGGAAAAGGCCAGTGGGCCTGGCAGGTAGTTCACCACATCTTACTGGGTAAGTAAACTGCCTTCTGGATTGAAGGCACCGGGAGGTTTGTTAGTGTCCACAAAGCACCAAAGCACGATATTTAGCTATCCCTTTGTGGGCCCCAGTGACTAATGGTGTTTATAAATGTCTAATTTGTTCAGTAACAGTTCTTTGGTTATTTATCCTTTCTTCCTTTTTATGTTAGTGTTGGTGCAAAAAAAAAACACAAAAAACAAACAAAACAATAAGGCATGATATTAGACATCAATCTTCTAATTAACCTGACTTCTGTTTTCACATTGTTTAAATGTTTATTTGAAAGGTTTCTTGTGTGTTATGGATAGCCAGCTGTTATTAGGCGCTTCCAATGTGTACTGGCTTGGCAATGCTTCCTCAAGAGTTTAATGTTGCCATGGTAACCAGTGATATCAATGCTAATGAAAAAATGACAGTTAGTTGTTAAAAATCCACACTGACTCAAGACTTTTGGTTAGTGGTTAATTTTTTCCAGGAGCATTTTTCTTCCCCAATAAAAGAGGGTGGGAAGAAAGAAAGTTCCACACACTCCCTCACATCCCAAGTGGAAGTAAATGGTGACAGTTTTCCATATTCCTAACTAATGACAATGATGAAAAAATGAAAAGGAATTTTTTTTTACCCTAGCTTAATGTTGGGGCATTTTGACAGTTAACTCTTGAAATTATTAAATGCCAGATATAACATGTGAATGTTTGGATTAGTCATGCTTTTCCCCTTTGTCTTATACTTGACAGTCTGAAGTTAGAAACAACGCATTGAAACTGGAAGACCTTCATGCTAAAGTGAATGACCTAAAAGAATTAACGAAAAATCCGGAAACTCCATCAGACCTTCAGGTAAGCACTCAGTCAGTTCTGTAATAACTGCTACCTGCTAGACTCTCCATCTCAAAGAATATTTCTATTCTCTAAGTATTTGTATATTAAAGTATGGGGCGCAGCTACAGTGTTTTGGCCAGGTTCAAGCCTCGGACTAATGAAAGGACAGGGTCCTCTCATTGTCACATGCAAGTCCCAGTTGGAGGGCAGGGCCCGGGCAGGGCCCGCCCAGCACAATTATAGCCAACGGCTGTGGTTGTGAGCTTGAACCTATGGTCCGAACACGTAGCCCCACGTGCCTTGTGATAGAGTTTGGGTGCATGTAGTTGAGTGAGGTTGAAACTCACGAGAATGCTGTAAACAACGTGATCACGCCCTGCTTTGCCTCGTGGCATCTGCTATAAAATAAAGACACGACTTGTGGGAGCCGGCCCTGTCTCCTCATCAGGGAGCAGTGTCCCACTGAGACCCAGCTTTCATTCTCTTGTCTGTCTTTTCTCAATCCTTTCACCCCCCAATCAGGGTCACTGAACCAGGCTGAGCTGGTATGGCACATAAGGCACCCTGGGGCTGAGTATGCCATGGCCGTGCCAGCTCCCCACATTAAAGTGCATATGTTTTGATGTTTTGAGTGGCCTGCAACTCTATGTCATCTGGGGTGAATGCCCGAGTGTGACCTCCGGCCAGAGGTGAATCATAAGAGAAAAAGAAAGGAGAGCATTCCTGTGTGACAGCTCAGGTCATCGAAGAAAGCTCTTTGGGGGAATGGCAGGCCCCGGAGGCAAGAAGTTATGAGATGCCCACAGGCTACGGACGGAGAAAGTGAAAAGCCAGAGAAAGGTGCATTGCTTGCATCTAGGGCCCTTCACCGGCGGCCACAGGAGCGAGGGGAGTCTCAGAAAAACCCACAGATCAAGGCCTGTGAGAGGAGAGAATGGTCCCCCCCCCCCCCCACCTCCTGCTTGCCCTGGCCTGTGAGGTGGGGAATAGAAATAAAGTGAAAAGAGACAAAAAGAGGCACTTGCCCCTTTCTCCACTGTGGAGATCTTCCTGTTTGCGGCAGATCTGAGCGGGGGCAAGAAAAAGCCCTTAACTTCAAAGTCTTGATTATTAAATGGTCCTGGATGTTTTTGTTGTAGAATTGAAACTGTTTGCGGTTCATCTTAAGGCCTTTTTTTATCTGTGGTCCAGAGAAATCAAGGCTCTCCTGAAATAAACCACCAGGAGCAGAGAACCAGCCTCCCCAAATACTTAGAGTGGGAGACAGAGAGGAAAGTGCTTTAGGATGAATCCCATGATTGGGGGGGTGGGGGGGCAGCGTTTGTCCAAAGTAGTGGTCACACCAGGGCAAAATGTGTGAGTGTTTCCCAGGGAGAATGAGGAGCAGGTTTTCGGTCACCTGCTTGGTAACCCAGCATGAGTCTGGCTGTTTTTGAGATGTGATTGTGTATATCCCCTGGAACTTCAGCCAAACTGCCACTTTCATGTCTCATGTTAACTGTAAGCCTTACTCTTTCCATTTGCCGATCACTTCATCACTTAAAATGTTTGGCAACGTGTGCACACTGATTTTCCGTCTTAGAAAAATTGGATGAACATCCATGGTTACGCTTATGTGGTTTGGTTTGGTTTTACGATTAAGCTACACATCCACGGAATTCCCAGTAAAGGAGTGTCTGGTTTTCACAGATTTTGATGAAATCCTGCTTTATGTTTTATGTTTAGTTTATAGAAGCGGACCTAAGGCAGAAACTGGAGCACGCCAAAGAAATTACCGAAGACGCCAAAGGGACCTTGAAAGATTTCAGGGCTCAGAGCACACAAGTGGAGAAATTTATTAACGACATAACAACCTGGCTGGCGAAACTAGAAGAGTCCCTGGTGAACTGCGCCCAAACTGAGACTTGTGAAGGGCTGAAGAGAGTAAAGGTAGGTAACCAGCCCTCATTAACTGGTTACACTTCAGTGGGAATATTAGTTCTCCTGCTTTGTGGTGGTTAGACTCGAGCCCTAACCGCTGCTCTCAATCTCCCGTATTAACACAAGACTCAGCAAAGTGCATAATGGGTAAAGAACTGAAAGCAAGATGAATAATCTGAAACAGAAAGCACGCATTGCTGTAGGGCCTGCTCACAGGCTACTATTTATTATTGTTATTATTATTATTAATTATTATTATTAAGGGGGTGACATCTATAGAAGTGTTTGAATGTCCAGGAATTTTCAAACTTGAATGCCAAACAGTTTTTCCTCACTTATTATTTTTATTGGTCAGTATGACTGCTTTTATCTAGACAGAGATATATTTTTTCATTGCGAAAACATCTCACTTTTATGTCAGTATGTTTATTTTCATAGATGGCATTTCTGATCAACTCTCTATCAAGCTTATGAGTTGAGTTGAGTTTTCAACAAAAAATGATATGTTCTTTTTCAGCATATTATTGTTTTGATATTCTTGAGACTAAGGAAGTATATTTTTAAATTAACTACTTGTGTTTTTTTGTGGCCTGTGACCCATTGGCCCACTGAAGAATGTGAACTTAGGAGGGCGCTTGCATTTGTAGTTTCTAATCAACTGATAAAACCCAAGCTCATGGCTGGAATCCACAAGGATCAATTCAATTTGCTTAAAATGCTAGACTCTCACTCAGATCCTAGCGACCTCTCAACAGCTGTTTGCAGTTGTTCCCAAAAACTGGGCAACATTCTCCAAGAATCAACACAGAGAGATCACAAATATTCAAAAAACAATCCCACAAAAATGTATACATTACTGAGTGGATTTTGATAGCATCTGTTTCCAGAGAAAGCGCCATCATGGAATAGGTGGAATATTTCTCTTCCGTCTGATAACCATCCTCCATGGCACACTCTTATTCTCTAGGAAATGCAGAAAGAACTTCAAAGCCAGCAAAGCAACATCAGCTCCACCCAAGAAAACCTCAATAGCTTGTGCCGCAAGTACCACTCGGCGGAGCTGGAGCGCCTGGGCGGGGCAATGACGGGCCTGACCAAGAAACACGAGGCTGCCAGCCAGCTGTGCTCCAGGACACAGGCCAGCCTGCAGGATTCTCTGGAGAAACACTTCCATGGTGAGCTCCCACAGGCCTTTGCTTGAATAGTCTGTTTACAAGAAGGAATCCGGACCAAATGCTGTGTAGAAACTGCCAGCAAACGTTTGCAAAACTTTCCGGAAGAATAGCAAGTTAAATTCACTTGGGCATTGAGATTTGGGCAGTGGAAGTGTCATGCGTGTGCCCTCACCATAAGCAACATTCTCCCTTTCTCCTCAGGGAGGTAGGAGTCTGCCGTTTGATGATTCGGAATTGCATCTAGATTTTCCACATATAGCTCATGTGTGTGGAAATTACTTCCACTGCTATGAGGAAGTCATAGTCCACCTGGGTATTAGGAGAGAGCATGAAACAGCAGCAGCATGTAATTCAGGAACGTGCCCGTCCTATGGATGTGCCGGACTCAGTTTCCCACACGGCTGCCTGTGCTCTGATGTGGACACATAATGACAACGCTCAAGTCAGCTTGGTGGAAAGGGGAGAAGGTTTCTCCTTGTGCCACAAAAATGGCTTTAGGACCCCTAAAGTATTTCTCCCCTTGCACTCTTCCAGAGTCAGGCAATTAATTATTTCTTTACCAAAAACAAAAAGACATAAGGGGAAATCGGACATTGAAGGAAAGTGAATTTCTTTGCAGTCTTTTCTCTGAGATAATTTCTTGATTCTACTGGGAACAGTCATGGCTGTAGATCATGCTGTGTCGCATATGTCATATTCTAGATTATTATGATCTTCCTTCTGGAATGTTTTGTAAGGCACAATGCAATGGGCTGAAGGCCAGAATTAATTCATGGTAGCTCATTCAATGTTTTGGATGCATTTCTCATTCATGTTCTTTTCCAAAGAGTCCATGAAGGAATTCCAAGAATGGTTTTCTGGAATAAAAGCAGCAGCAAAAAAATCATCAGACAGAACTGGTGACAGCAAAGTTCTAGAGGCGAAGCTTCACGACCTTCAGGTACGAACACTGGTGTTGCCTTTTCTTCTTCCCCAAACTACACTCAAGTGCGATCGGGTCAGACCTACATCACCTCTCTCCCCAAATCTTTTAATCGTATTCAAAGGTTTCTAGTTCCTTACCAGAATTAGATTTCTTGAGTGATAAGGAGATAAGCAAAATGAAAAGTAAGCTGAAAAATCAAGTTAGAGCTGTAGAATTTCTAGATCCCCTTCCCCTCTCTTTTAGCCTATTGACTATTTGGAATTCACTCTAAACTAAACCTAATTTTAATTTTTATAGCAGTAGAAGCATAAACAGTGATAGCTATTTCACGTTACTATCATGGAGGAGTTTTAAAAAGAAGACACCACTGACATCATGTGTGCTTTTTAACAACCTGTGGTCTAAATTTGAAACTTAGAAATATTCAAATCAAAGTAATAGATATTATAGATTGTATAGGTTTTGCTCACTAGGAAAAAATGTATGAATTCAGGAACGAGAAGGCCATTGTGAAGCAGAGTTAAAAAATAATTGATGCAAGACTAGATTCATACTGAGTTTTGGCTTTGTTTTTTAAGTGGCGAATCTGAGCAAAGCATGGTATTAAGTATTGTAAAACTAATTTTTAAAAAATTAATGGAAACATGCGGATTTTGTGGCCTAATGGGTGATGACAATTATGTGGATAACTCATTCGCTGTCAGAATAGGAAGAGTGTCATCATACAGGAAGCTAGTTTCGCAGAAGGCAGGGTGACTGCAGATGTGGAATTGTCCCCTTTAAGGCCTGAGATGCAGTGAAACTCCACAGAGAAAAGTCTGGAACTCAGAGACGAGGCAGGACTAGCACAGCAGTTCTGGGTTCTTTTGCTCTGCCGAAGCCAATGACCATGCATATGGCCTTCCAAAGAAGAGGTGCACGCCGAACCAAGAAGGGAACGCATGTCAGGATATGGTGTGCAGGGCGGGTCAGAGGAGGAGGAGGGATAGAGGCAGTTAACCAGTTAGAAGACATCACACTAACCATGAGGAGGTGGAGCCTGCACTAGGTTGGGATGGTGAGAAAGGGGAGAGACTGAGGACAAGACCTTGGTAAGAACATCCTCCTTCCCAGGTCGGCATTGTTCCCAGTGGGTCCTCAGTGGTTCCAATGCCTGGCTGGCCCGTCCTCAGGGATGAGCCTCAATTATATCCAGTTGCCAACATCATTCTTACTCCAGCCTTGTCAACGGCTGTCTTCCTTTGGCCCCTGTTTTTCTGCTCTTGCTCTACTAGCTCAGCTCAGAGTTGTAATTAGTGCTCCCATGCACCAGGGTCTCTGAACGATAGCAAATGTTTTATATCACTTTTATTTCCTGAAACAGACCATTTTAGACTCGGTCGGTGATGGGCAGCGCAAGCTTGATGCTGTGACTCAGGAAGGACAAACATTGTATGCACATTTGCCTAAACAAATGGTCAGTAGCATTCAGGAGCAGATTACCAAGGCAAATGAGGAGTTTCAAGCTTTTCTGAGACAATGCCTCAAAGACAAGCAGGCTCTTCAAGACTGCGCTCTGGAACTTGGAAGGTAGGTTGTTTCCATACAGGTAGATTTCATCCTGTACAGAATGTCTTCAGGGACTTAGAGAAAAAAAACCATTGAGAATAAACAAATCTTTGAAATTGTGAGTTTAAATGTAAAGCTTTGACCTTAATTATAGATTCATTCTGGGACAGTAACTGACTGCTCGAACTATGATGGAATCACATGGTTTGATTTTCTACACAGAAAATAAAGGAATTATACTCACTAGTAACTGTGAATGACATGAATTCATACATTTTTTGGTCTGTTTGACTAACTCAAGATATTAGAGCTTTGGCATCCAGGTTTTATATTATCCAAGTCTTTTTCTTGAGCCTACTTCTGCTGGGTTGGAGTCATGGCAGAAACACCTACTGTATTTATGTGAGTCAAGAGTCCAATCAGGAAGCTATGTCAACGTGGGTGAATATAGAATAAAAAAAGCGGGGGGGGACCTTGTTACTAGGGAGGAAACGATGTCAGTATAATCAAAATGCCTTTCTGGTAGTGGAGTAATTTGCCTGACTCTTATCCAGGTTTCTCAGAGAATTTACACTGTCTTCAAAATTGAGAGCCCTTGGGCTCTTGTGCCATATTTCAAATCCCATAAGATACAGACATAGAGAGGACTTCCCCTTTTTCTCATCGGGCTTCCGCAGCCTCCCTTATCCATTGACCCCAATTCAGGGTCTCTACTAAAACCCAAAAAGTCAAGTGCATGTTGCAGGGGAATGTAGTCTTGCTGGTAATTACCACCTATGATTACCAGGTAATCAATTCAGCTTGATAAGGTGATTCATTTCTGCCTGTATTGCAAGAGAAATTTCCATAATTTTCATTTTGTTACTGAATAAGCAATCATTTGAATGGGCTTATTGTTGAGTTTTCTTCTACTTGAAAAATCATGAAAACATGATTGATGTAGACATTGTGACCTCAGCTATTAGAATGCATTTATTATAATGATAACCTAAGAATTTCTCTATGGTGTTTTTCTTTTCTTTAGCTTTGAGGACCAGCACAGAAAACTGAATTTATGGATCCATGAAATGAATGAGAGGTTAAGCTCAGAAAACTCAGGAGAGAGTAAACAGCACATTCCTGAGAAGAAAAATGAAGTTCATAGGGTTGAAATGTTTCTGGGTGAACTCCTGGCTGCCAGGTATGGTGCAGAAATGGAATTGGTCCTTTCCCCACCAAGGACTGAGTGTTTGTCTGGTTGTTTGGTTATTTGGTGTGCTTGGCAGCGGGTTGGTTGGTTTGTTGGTTGGTTTGTGGTTGTGCTTGTTTTCATCCCTGAGTATCTAGAATACAAATGAGCGTGCAGTGTTTTCTCCCTGGAGAGAGCATAGGGATGGAGGTAAGGGGCTGGTCTACATCTTTGTTCCACCTCCCTTCGCTCAACAAATTGGATAGAACACTCACTTCCTGTATTTTTTTATATTAGCCTTTAGCATTGTGATGATAATGACATTTTCTTCTCAGAGATTATTGTAAGATATAAGGTGATTAAAAGATACTATTCATTTACAAGAAGAATGCTATAGATCCCAATTTCCATATGTTCTTTATACACGTCAGCCTCCGGTCCCATTTTTAATTCACCTCATTCTCACAAAATTCTTTGTAAAACAAGAGGGGTGTGGTCATTCAGTCTGGCTGTCTTGGAGGCTCCCCTTCTCCATTACAGCATTTGCTTCTGCATTGCTTTCTAACTGAGCAAATGATTCTGGCTCCTTTCCCAGGCCAGGTTCTCTGGCCTGACTTTCAGGATGTTGCACCCTAAATTCATGCTTCAGTCCTGGCATTTTCAGTTGCTTCATTGAAATTCTACCTTTGGAAAGGTTAGTGCAATTTGATCCAAAACTCTTTAACTACTTCCTAAAGAGTAGATACAATCATCTGTGAAGCAATAGAGGCTAGCACCAGCCTGCTTCATCAGAAAAATTAGCAGCAGTGATCAACGAAGTGAAAACTGCCTAATTCAGATTAGACCCATTCCCTGTTTCCACCCAGTCCTCTTTTTGGTCAAACATGCTGAGTGTTCCTAGTCTTGAAAAAAAAAAACCATACAAACAAGTGCACAATAGAACCCATACTAACAACTACTGCTGGTGTGCTCATTTAATAACTATTCTAAAATTTCCCTGGGATGCTCTGGTCCCACCTCTTAGCAGTTACCAAGGGATGAACACTTTGTTGACTCTGTGTACTCCAGTCCTCTACAGTGAGTTCCTCAAGGCCAGGGACCATCAGGTCTTTATCATCTGTAGATTGCCATAGTCTAGTATAATGTCAGAAAAATCCTATAGAATAAAAGCCTAATATGTTAAGTGCCTGGTCATCCAGTTGGCCATTCAACCAATCCAAGTGTAATAGGCTAATGATATGTTAGGGCTGTTCAACCGCTCATTATGACATGCACTGACCACCAGGGGGCAGACAGTCGACCTGTCGACCAGTTGCTATGATATGCACTGATCACCAGGGGGCAGATGCTCTGACCAGTAGGTTAGTTTGCTGCTGGGGTCTAGTCGATTGGGACTGAGCGAGATAGGCCAGACATGCCCTGGAGCCCTCCCGCAGTCTCGCCCTGGCTGGCCAACCTCCCGTGTCCCTCCCTGCCACGATCAGCCACTGGTGGGGTCCCTCGGCCTGGCCTGTACCCTTTTGCGATCCGGGACCTCTCAGGGGATGTCAGAGAGCTGGTTTCAGCTCAATCCCACAGGCCAGGCCAAGGGACCCACTGGTGCACGAATATGTGCACCAGGCCTCTAGTAGAATATATTGCTGAATTAACAGAATAATAGTATCATTCTAAATATATAAATTTCTGCAAGGTACAGTGCACTTTTTGTGCTTTAAAATCTTGACTCTTGTCTAGATACAATATAACCTACTTCTCTCCTCCTTCCATATTATTCTTGATCTGATAGTCCATGATCAGAGCTAAGAGTCCTTAGTATATTGGTTCCCAGTTTCTTTCTAACTGGCTACTCTGTACACTCCCCATGAGGGTCACTCAGGTGCTCATCTGGGTCACCTGACTCCTCTCACCTGCTTGTCATTTGCTCCTCCCAGCCCCCTGTTGTTGTTTTTAATCATAATATTTCTAGTACACACATTTTGGAGGGATGCCCTCCATTTTTTTAAAGTACCCTAAACTTGAGACTCATTGAATTTTTATCATCCATTTACCAATTCTTCTTGAAATATCGAGTGGTATCTATTCTCTTGAATTATTATTTAACTCACATCATTGCTTACACCACCTTCTTGTCTCATCAAACAGATTACCAGAATAAAAATATGTACTTTAGAGTAGATATACTATTGTATAAGTCACATATATCTCACAGAGACCCATAAGGATGCTATTTACATAATAGCTGCTAAGTAAAATAAAAGAGGCATCATAGGAGATACATTATGTAGCCTTTTTCCACTACTCGCAATAGTTTGTGTTCAGACAACTGCTCTCCCCCTCCTGGTTTCCCAGGCATCTCCTGAGAACAGTGCTGATCTGAATTCAGAACCGGTCAAACAGGATGAAGCCGACCAGCCACAGGTGGTTACACTTTCCCTGGGGCTAATTTACATAACTCCAAGCTGGGATGAGCAGGGCACCTGAGGTACAAGAAAGACACCCTTAAGCACTCATAAAATGGCCTTTTGAAAGAATCATGCCTTTTTTTTCTTCTTCTTCTTTTTTTCTTTTTTTTCATTTTATCTCTGCCAAACATTGCACTGGTGCTGGGACATGAAATGATTGTAATAGCCCTGGCTTCTAGAAGGAAAGCCTGTGGATTGAGACACACAAGGTGTGTAGGAGGCTGCAGAAGGTGCCCAGAGGAGGAGACCTGCCCTCCTCACCCTCTCCACCCTCTCCACTCTCTCCACCCGCCTCACCCTCTCCACACTCCCCACCCTGTCCTCAGTTATCATGATGCTTGCCCGGGATTCGATGCCTGCCCTGAGCTGTGAAAGGGGCGGGTAGACCAGGAGCAGAGGAAAGCAGAAGGGCTCTCACAGAGGAGCCTCCGTGTATGTATAGCAGAGGGTTGGGGGCATTTCGGCAAGCTGCTCGGGGTTAGAGCATTCAGTAGGAGTGGAGAGATGCCGGGTGGCCTGGAGGGGCAGGCCAGGCCTTTTCTGAAGTGAATTCCTCGGCATACACTGGGCTTGGACCTAGGTACTGCATGGGTTCAGTCAGGTCCCCGGATGTGAATTAACTACCTTTGGAGAAACCATAGGAGAAGCAGGTGGCCAGGGCAGTCTCCAGACTCTTCATTTTACTTTATTTTTTAAAATAGTTTTATTGATTTCAGAGAGGAAGAGAAAGGGAGAGAGAGAAACATCAATGAAGAGAGAGAATCATGGATCGGCTGCCTCCTGCACACCTGCTACTGGGGGTCAAGGCCACAACCCGGGCCTGTGCACTGACAGGAATCAAACCGTGACCTCCTGGTTCATTGGTTGATGCTCAACCACCGTCCCCACCCTCATAGGTCAGCCTGGCAAGGCTCTTTGTTTAAAGGCGTGGCAGCTGTGAGCTGTTGTCTGTGGAGCGCTCCAACATCAACAAGCCTTTGTGGCTCCCCGGTGCTGGGAGAGTCCAGCTGATTCTGTTTTCTGTTGTCTTTAGAGAGTCTCTGGACAAGCTCTCGCAGCGCGGGCAGCTGCTCAGCGAGGAAGGCCACGGCGCCGGGAAGGAAGGGCGCCTGTGCTCCCAGCTGCTCACCAGCTACCAGGGCCTGGTCGGGATGACCAAGGAGAAGCTGCGCCGCTGCCAGGCGGCCCTGCAGGAGCACGAGGCCCTGGAGGAGGCCCTGCAGAGCATGTGGGCCTGGGTGAAGGGCGTGCAAGACAAGCTGGCCTGCGCAGACAGCACCGTGGGAAGCAAGGACACCCTGGAAAAACGGCTGTCACAGATACAGGTACACCCCTGTGCCCCAGGACTGGTGCGATTAGACCCCCAAATGGTTGAGTCGGGTCCCAATCACGCTGTGAGCCATTTTATTTTTTTAATATATTTTATTGATTTTTCACAGAGAGGAAGGGAGAGAGATAGAGAGTTAGAAACATCGATGAGAGAGAAACATCGATCAGCTGCCTCCTGCACATCTCCCGCTGGGGATGTGCCCGCAACCGAGGTACATGCCCTTGACCGGAATCAAACCTGGGCCCCTTGAGTCCGCAGGCCGATGCTCTATCCACTGAGCCAAACCGGTTTCGGCGTGAGCCATTTTCTAAATGAGGATTAGGTGAGCGAAATGGGGAACTTGGGCAAAAAGGACTTGGAGGGGATGATTTTCCCTCTTTGTAAAGGAAAGGAATATGTTTGTTTTAATAGCTCTAATATATATATATATTTAATTTTGTTTAGTAAAAATTCAGCAAACATTATGAAATAAATACCTAGTTTACTCCAAGCACTATGCAAGTTGCTGGGCATGTGAAGATAAAAATGAGTCCTGCAGGAGTTCAAGTCAGTGGCAGGGACCAACTGCAAATGTTACAGGCCGTGCAACATGTATGTGGGGCCGTGATTGAAGGCAGCGGGGGTGGGAAAAGCACAAAGGAGACCACCGCCCAGCCTGCAGCCAGTGAAGGTGACCTTGAAAGACAGGAATTAGTCAGGCTTTGAAGGTAGGGGACTGTTAGGCTTTTAACAAGCGTGTTTTCGTTTTCAAAATAATTCCTTTTTACTCTGAAACTAAGTTTCCCAGTAAAGTTACAATGCTTAGGCAAGTAGTCCAAAGTTTTCCAAGAATTCAAACTGGAGTTAATCTTTACTCCCAGATTCTCGGGTTGCTAATATTTAATTAAAGTTTTATATTGCGGTAGAGTCCAGACATTGTTGTTGTTTTGTTTTCATATTTTATTTATTGTTAACACTGTTACAGATGTTCCCCATTTTCCCCTCTTTTGCTCCCTTCCATCCAACCCCCACCTTCACCACATCATTGTCTGTGTCCATGGGTTATGCATATAAGATTATATGTGGGTTTTTTTTTTAAATGTATTTTATTGATATTTTACAGAGAGGAAGGGAGAGGGATAGAGAGTTAGAAACATCAATGAGAGAGAAACATTGATCAGTATCCACTGAGCCAAACTGGTCAGGGCAGAATATATGTTTTTTAATTAATCGCTTCTAGTTCCTTTCCCCACCCCCCAACCCCCCATTCCCCTTCCCCTCTGAGATCTGTCAGTCTGTTCCAGGTATCCATGCCCCTGGTCCTGTTTTGTTCATCAGTTTATTTTGTTCGTTGCCTTTTCTTTTCTTTGTTTTTAAATCTTTATTGTTGAAAGCATTGCATAGGTCCCCTTTTCTCTTTAAGGTGAGTAAGGTATTCCCTACCTTGCTTCTCAGGGAAACGATTGTTTTTAAAACTATCAGAAGCCTTTACTATTTCTGCTGACGTGCATTCCCTCTTCTTCCTAGGACATCCTCCTGATGAAAGGGGAAGGGGAAGTCAAGCTGAATATGGCCATTGGCAAAGGGGAACAGGCCTTGAGAAGTAGCAACAAAGAAGGTCAGAAGGTGATTCAGACCCAGCTACAGACCCTCACAGACGTGTGGGCCAACGTCATGAGCTCCTCCGTCCACGCTCAGAGGTACAGCGTCCAGTGCAAGTGCTTAATTGCCTAAACAAATCCCAGGAGCTTAGTGAAATGAGGGAGCGGTGCCACGCCTCCTGCAGTAGAGTGACCACGCATGTGATCTTAGCTAGCTGTATGCTTGCCTGTCTTCATCTAAACCAGTGATAGCGAACTTATGACACGCGTGTCAGAGGTGACACGCGAACTCATTTTTTGGTTGATTTTTCTTTGTTAAATGGCATTTAAATATATAAATAAATATCAAAAATGTAAGTCTTTGTTTTACTATGGTTGCAAATATCAAAAAATTTCTATATGTGACACGGCACCAGAGTTAAGTTAGGGTTTTTCAAAATGCTGACACGCCGAGCTCAAACGGTTCGCCATCACTGGCCTAAACTGTATTTTCTGTAATATCAAAGACTGGTTTTGTTTGCTTGCTGTGTGTGTGTGTGTGTGTGTGTGTGTGTGTGTATAATATTTACATCTCCCATAATATGTCAATGGAATTTGGCACACAACTTGAACTCTGTAAAATAGACCCTTTTAATTCATCAAAGCAAGGTTATGTGGTTTTGAATAACTTTAATATCTTTTCACTTTTTAAAGAAACATAAGGGAAATTAAGTCATGGGCAACTGTGGAGCTTAAGTATAAATCTTTTTCTCAACCCCAGGTAATATCACCCCCGTTGGGGTTGTGGACCTATGGGGGGAGGGTGTTTGATGGTCACAGGGATGGAGCATCCCTGGCATTCAGTGACTGAGCCCAGGAGAGCTGGTGCCCTCCAATGCGTGGGACATTCTTACACAAGCAACAGTCAGCCCACCCGCCCAGGGTGCCTGCAGAGCTCTGTTGAGTAGCACTGCCCAGGGGCTGCTGAGAAAATAGAGAAGATGCTGGTCATTACAATAGGCGATGTTGTTGCTGTTGTATTTATGAGGAAGATTTTCACCTTCCTCCTTCCCTCAGGGGATCCACAAGTAATCTGGCTGGCTTGTTGGACAAATGATTGTCAGTCAGAATTATATTAAAATACATCCAGGAGCCGTATTCTGATGATGATATATACTATTAGATCACCAAAGAATGTGTGTTCACTATGATCAAAATAAACAGACAAGTAAAAGATTAAAATTCATAAAACAAAATAAAAATATTTGCCATCACCCTGTACAATGTAAAAGTGGACCATGGTTTCAATTAAAATGTGAGAGGTTGTGTTTTTGTTTTAGTTTGTTTTTTTTCTTTAATATGGAGCATTTGTTGTAACTCCCAAAGTCTATAGAATTTTGAATCTTAGTAATAGCTCAAAGTGGTCAGTAAAGAAAAAAACTTCAGATCCCAGGATTCTGTTTTTTATAGAGTAGATCAAACTTCCCAATGCTTGCCAATAAGCTAGCTTTGTAAAAGTGAACAGGAATAAGGGTGAATATTTTTCAGATGTTAGAATAAAATGTTAAATACAAAAAGTAGATTCAAATCTTTGATTCTTTGCTTTTAGCAAGAAATTAAATTTGACAACTACATATTGAGCAATAGCAATGTTCAAATGACAGTGGGTAACTACAGAGTTTATTTTGTTTTGTGGTTATTTTTTCCTGTGCTAAAAGAATAAAACAGAACAAAGTACTTTTTACCCTCTATGTGCTATGAGGCCAGGGTAGGGTACATTCCAGAAAATTCTGACTCATATAGTGTTGCTAAGATGTTGTGAGACTGTAGAAGAAGGCAGGGCCCAGGGTGGCTTCTGGGGAGGTGAGATTGATTTGGAAACTCAATTGGAAAGGATAAGAATGTTGGCATGTATGGTGAGGTTTATACTGATGAAAAATAAACAATCTGAGCCCTGGTTGGTGTGGCTTAGCTGGTTGGGCGTCATCCCATGCACCGAAAGGTCACTGGTTCTATTCCCAGTCAGGTCACATGACCAGGTTGCAGGCTCAATCCCCAGTAGGTGGTGTGCAGGAGGCAGCCAATCCATGTTTCTCTTTCACATCAATGTTTCTCCTCTCTCTCCCTTCCCTTCCTCTCTCTAAAATCAATAAAAACATTTTTTAAAATAAACAAACAGTTTAAGCAAATGCTGCAAGTACATTTCCTATAGATATGACTCCAAGATTATAGGATTTTATGCAAGGGAGATTGGGAGAGGTCACTGAAGATGAGTTTAGAATAGTTTTAGAGCTGAATACTTTAAAAATCAGGATGCCAGCCTGGAGAGCCTTTTACTTGACTGTCTGACGAGCTATTTGGTTGGCTATTACATTTGTGATTACATTTCTTATATTATAAATGTATTTAGCCTTCATTCCTTCATCCATTCAACACTAAACATTGTGCATCTATATCCGTACGTGAAAATCAATCTAATGATATTATGTAACCAGGAATATTACCCTAAATTTTAAATTCCAATCAATAAATAATTGCCATCTGATTTTAATGAAATAAACTGAGTCCAGGATATATATTAACTAAAATTTGCTCAGCCAGCATGGCTCAGTGGTGGGGCATTGACCTATGAACCAGGAGTTCATGGTTCAGCTACTGGTTGGGGCACATGCCCAGGTTGTGGGCACAATCCCCAGTAGGGGGCATGCAGGAGGCAGCCAATCAATGATTCACTCTCATCATTGATGTTTCTATCTCTCTCTCCTTCTCTCTTTCTCTCTAAAATCAATAAAATAAAAATAAAATTGAATTGATACCCCAGTGCTGATATTTAACAACACAATTCATAAATTTGCCTATTTATTAAGACAATTAGCATTTGGAAGACAAATCTCCAGATGCATATATGAGTACAACATCTTACTTACATTTTGACATGGATTCACTTTGTTTGAAGAAACTGTGCAGTCGGTCAGAAAAATAGTGTTTCTCCCTGCCCTTAGAAGCAGTGCCCTCACCACCTATAGTAGTGCTCAGCAAGACAGCTTACATCAAGCATGTCAAACTCGCAGCCCGCGGGCCACATGCCTCGTTGATTTGGCCTGTGTTAGCCTTTGAGTTTGACATGCTTGGCTTACCTGGATGCCATGCCTTCGTAGTTGGTTTCCAGTAGAGCTGTCAAGATAACTTATTTTTCTAATAACGTTAATCCCAGCACTTTAGAGGCTGTGATTAGCCAATGGAATGACTACCTGGAGTGGAAAAGCCAGTTGGAGCAGTGGATGGAATCCGTAGACCAAAAATTGGAGCATCCCTTGAAACCGCAGCCAGGTCTGAAAGAGAAGTTTTGCCTCCTGGACCACTTCCAGTGCATCGTCTCGGAGGGGGAGGATCAGGCCGCAGCCCTGCACCGCCTCACTGCCAGGTCCAGGGAGCTCTACCAGAAGACTGAGGATGCGTCCTTCACGGAGACAGCCCAAGAGGAGCTGAAAACACAGTTTAATGATATAATGACCGTTGCCAAGGTTAGTGCTTTATATTGAAGGAAAAACTTCAGGGTCAGGTAAAGAATAGCTTATGGGTTACCTTATTGGGGAATTTGCTGCTCTAAAAACTATTTGTACATTTTTCCTTTCTGCAATCTTGGGCTTATTTTTTATTCATAGTTTTATGATTTTTCTCCACTTAGAATGTTAGTCAACCCATTTTTTTTCTTTTTTTTTTTTGCAAAATTGTTGAGCTTCAAATATCATTGTTTAAAAGTTCTTTACAAAAAGCCAACAAATGTCATTTCTTTAATAATAGGAAGTGTTATTATAATAATTATTATTAAGTGAATAATTAGTGAGGGATGTTAGTCAACATTCATTAAGCATAGATTTTTATGCAAAGCTAGACATAAGTAAAATTATAGGAAAATTGGTTTTATCCTCAAAGTCTTTTAGTCTAATTGAGATTTGATATTTTCATTTTAAGATATAAAACACAGAGAAAATTCAAGATTAAGAATGAAGTCCTGGATGGTTTTTCTCAGTGGTTAGAACACCAAAAGATTGCTGGCTTGATTTCCAGTCAAGGGCACATACCTTGGTTGCAGGCTCAATCTCTAACCCCGTGGGGGAGGCAACCAATAGATGTGTCTCTCTCACATTGGCCTATCTATCTATCTATTTATCTATCTATCTCAATCTCTCTCTCTCCCCGCCCCCACCTTCCTCCATCTGTTCCACTCTCTCTAAAAATCAATAGAAAATTATCCTTAGATGAGGATTTAAAAAGAATAAGAACATCTTCTGAGATCATTAAGAGACCGTTATCAGACTTTTCTTGTCTGATTTCATATCATCTGTAGTGACTGCTGCTGAGTCGCCTCTGCTTGTTTCCTAGGAGAAAATGCGGAGCGCGGAGGAGATGGTGAAGGACCACCTCCTGTATGTGGATGCCGTGCAGGAGTTCACAGACTGGCTCCACTCGGCCAAGGAGGAGCTTCACCGCTGGTCGGACCCGTCTGGAGACTCATCCGCCACCCAGAAAAAGTTGTCTAAAATTAAGGTCAGAAAGTGGACCGATACCGTAACTTCTCTCTCTCATTGGTGCTGGAGCCTGACATGCCTGTGACAAAAATCCTCTCCCACCACTCAGAGAACTAGAGATCTCTGTGTATTTTTGGTTCTTTCTAGTGGCTTGAATAATACATGGCGATGACTTGCTCCCTGTGGAAAACAGTAGATTTTAATCTAAAAATTAAGCAATGATGAAATCCTGAATGGTTACGTTTTAGATGAGGAATCAATAGTGTAACTGTGGTCAGGAGTTTAGGACTCAAATTGTGTTCTTTTGTTTGTTTGTGTTTTTAATAATTCTTTATTGTTGAAAGAATTATATATGTCCCCCTTCTTCCCGCATTGGTCCACTCCACCCCACCCCTGTCTCCCCTCACCCCCACCCCTGCTCCCAGCCCCAGGCCTCCAGCACCCTATTGTCTGTGTCCATATATGCATTCAAGGTCTTTGGTTGATCACTTTCCACCCTCCCAGCCTCCCCCACCTTCCCTCTGCGATTCCGCACTCAAATTGTGTTCTAATGTATAGAGATCAGAACATAAAAATCATAAATGCAATAGATGATAACAGTAATAACTATATTTTGAAGATTTACTTTGAAAGGCTTATCTTTTTTAAATCATATAGAATGTTTTAAATGTGATAATTACGTAAGGGCACTTTTTAAGTTTCTATTATCTGTGTGATCCTTTAAAATACTTCTTTGGCACATTTCTCAGTAATGTTTTAATTCACTCATCCATCCTCCAATTGTAAGCTACCGCCTTGTGAAAGAAGGTGAAAATGGGGTAGGGACCCTGAGCAGAGCACAGTCCTGCTTCAATCCTTGTTCACTTATCTGTCAGTTTAGGAAGTGATTTTAACCCGTGTGCTGCAAGAATTTTAAAACAGGCAACACCTGACTATGTAGTCCGGCACTGACCTCTTTTCCTAAGGTTGTCAAATAATGAAGTGACAATAGCCAACACAATAGCCATCCAGTGGGAATGATTCAAAATTATATCTATTTTCTTGTCCGATTGGCAAAAAAAATCAATATAGTTTTTGGTGTGCCGCCGCATGTTAGTAATGAGTTTATGTGTGCCATGAGATGCCAAAGGTTGAAAATCGCTGGTTTGGGAGGAAATACGGATTTGCTTATTTCTAGGAGCAGTGCACTGTGGGCCAACGCAGTGTCACACATTCAAACAATGCCTGACTTCAGGGTCCCTGCTTCGTCTGTTTCAGGCCGTTTCGGATTCCACAGCTTCTTTTGCCAGAAGCCCTGGTGCTCAGGGTGGGAATTCCCTGCTGTGACAGCGCGGGGGTGGGCGGGGGGCTGGGCTCTGGCTCCCGGTGGCACACTGGCTGAAACTCCCCAGCAGGACAGGGTGCCCCTCTGCACATATTTGGAAGCCTGCTGGGACGCGGCCTCCTCGGTTACCATGGTGATATTCCATTACAGGAGCTGATGGATTCCAGAGAGACCGGGGCCAGCCGCCTGAGCAGAGCGGAGTCCCTGGCTCCGGCCGTGAGGCAGCGCACAGCGGCCAGCGGGGGCGAGCTGCTGGACGCAGAGATGCAGGCCCTGCGCGCCGACTGGAAGCAGTGGGAAGACAGCGTGCTCCGGGCGCAGGGCAGCCTGGAGAGCCTGGCCAGCCAGATGGCCCTCTCGGAGCAGGCGTTCTCAGGCCAGGTGGCCGCCCTGGAGCAGGCCCTGGAGCAGCTCGGCACCCTTCTCGCAACGTGGGCTCAGCAGCTAGCCCTCCTGGAAGGCAAGAACACGGATCAGGAGATAGTGGAGAGCTGGGAGAAGGGGCGCGTAAGTTGGCTTCCTGTTTTCTGTTGATGGTTATGCTAGAAGTTTGGTTTGGTTCTCGTCGCTAAACAAACAAAACAACTGAGAACCTTCTTGCTAACTAAAAACACAACATTCAGACTTGGAAGAAGTAAGTGTTTCTAATTAAATCTGCAAACCAGATCTGTTTTCTTTTCTCCTAAGTCGAACTGTTCTACCTAGAAGGGTAGAGGAGAGAAGAAGTTATTATTTACCATTGAAAACAGTTACTGTGAGTGGAAACATTCTACTTTCATTATTCTGGTGCAAGAGTTTGTAATATCGCATTCAGCCATTCAGTCTGAAAAAAATGGCCTGTGGGTAGAGGCATAAATAGACGAAGAGTCATAGCTGCGCTCCTGCCAGTGAGTTCTTTCCAACAATTAAACGATTGAATTTATAGCTTTGAAAGACACATTTGGTAAGCCCCGAAAACACAACTAATAGTTTGCACCCTGATCAGCTCTCCTATGTGGAGTTTTGACAGCTGCGCTGGAATTAACGGTTCACAGAACTCCTATGTCATGCTCATGGGTTGCCTTCCGGACATTTTTTTTTTTTTTTTAACTAATGGCAGCTCTTTCAGAATGAGAGAAAGGGAAGCATAAAGGGGTAGTGAAGAAAGGGCAGAAGCTGGAGATCCCATCTCTTTCTTTACTGTTCAATGGCATCTTGGAAAGACTTTCTTTCGATATTGGCAGTTTAATAATGCTCTGAATCGCGGCTGTCCTTAAAAGGAAGTTTTGGTAAAGTAACCTTCTCTGTGGCTATTTATGTTATAAACATTTCAAAATAGCTCCAGCCAGTAGGGAACTCCCGTAGTATTTCCAACATTGTCTTGTTTTAAGTCAAGTATTTGAAACAAAGATAGCGTGCTGCAAAGGTTCCCTTTGTAATCATCTCTTTATGCTATTTTACTTATATGCTTATAGACTGTATTTTGTTCTGATGCCCTTCATGTCCTTTGGGGTTAAGCACGGAATAAAGTGTAGAAAGCAGTTCTGTAAAACAGGGACAAGGACCTTGGTGATTATGGCATGTGGTCAGTACCATTGACTCTGATATAAAAACATTTGTTAGGATGTTTTCGTTCTGTTTCCCTTCTTTTCCCTACCGTCAATATAAGTGAAATTTTAAAAAAGAAAGATTTGATGGTATTTAAATTATATGACTATTCTGAGCTATCATTATTTCTTTATATTGATTCTACTAGTAAAAATAATAGGTGAGGCCTGTGAAAAGGTAATGCAAAAGTAAATATAGGTTTTTAATGGTGCAAGCAATTCAAAGACAACAGTCTGGGCTTTGATCTGTTTTTAATATTTGGTTCTGAGGCGCTTGCTTTTGATGACAATACTACATTACCTCTAAATACTCAGATTTTCTCTTATTCTAATAATGTCGTTTTATCTAAAAATGGCGATGATAAAAAAAAGAAAGTGTAATTATGTGATGGGATAAAGGTGTTAGCTAATGTTGTGGTGGTTATCATTTTATTATATATAAATGTATTAAATCCCTACATTGTACACCTTACACTCACACAATATTATATGTCAATCACATCTCAATAAAGCTGGGGACAATAATTTTTTAAAAATGGAGGTAATACTCCCATTACAATGAAAGCCTAGGAAAGTTTTATAAAATAATGGATTTGCCAGGGTTCACACGGCTTTGTTTTGCTGTGAGGAAGGGCCTGTCATTGTTAGCAATCCTAATAATAATCATGTGCCGCCACGGGCCTTTGCTTTCTCTTCTGCAATGAAATGGTGACACTCAAGAAATCTTTTTAAAAATAAAAATGGATCATTATCTATAAACTATGTAAAATCATGGCACACAAAAATCTTGTTCACTGTGTTCCAGAACTCATCTCTCTTAATATCCACGGGCTAATTGTGTTGGAAATTTAGGAGTTTTCTTAACCTCCAAGGAAAAAATATTCATTCCAGGACTTAACTGAAACACAGGTGTATAACCTGATGTTTATATAATGAAAGAGTCTAATAATATGCTTTAATGTATGATCACATTACAGAAAAAATTTTAGTGGAAATTTTTGGTCAAAGCTTTTCGCTTTTGATAGCACCTAACGTGCAAGTGACTCGCGATATCTCTGGGTTTGTTATTTACCTCTCTAGTGCATGGTCAGTTTCTTTGGTTCTTATAATGCTCTTTCTTAAATAAAAGATTCAATATGATGTAAAATAGTAGTTACTAGTTTAGCATTGGGATTTTCAGAGAGAAACTTTCTAAGTATTACTTATGAATTTTGCAAATAAGAATATTTTAGATGCCTCTAGCCCAGTGATGGCGAACCTATGACACATGTGTCAGAGGTGACACGCGAACTCATTTTTTTGGTTGATTTTTCTTTGTTAAATGGCATTTAAATATATAAAATAAATATCAAAAATATAAGTCTTTGTTTTACTATGGTTGCAAATACCAAAAAATTTCTATATGTGACACGGCACCAGAGTTAAGTTAGGGTTTTTCAAAATGCTGACACGCCAAGCTCAAAAGGTTCGCCATCACTGCCCTAGCCTGACACTAAGCTAAATAAACAAGTTTAAAGCGAAGAGAACACCATCCCTTCTCTCAGAGCCACAGTCCAGGTGGAAAGGCCAACAAGTTCAAAACCATTAGAAACACTCGCTATGATGAGTGCCAGGGGGTGCTGTGTCCTCAGTGGGAGGTGGGAAGGAAGACAGAGGATCCTTAGGGGAAGAGTTATTTGAGCGGAGTCTTGAGGTCTGGTTACAAATGGACCAGATAGATGAGGTGGAGAAATGGCACCATTGTACAAAGTCACTGAGGAACGAGAAAGCACAGCAGAGAAAACTAGAGAACAGAATTCAAATTAAGGGGATACTGTGTCATTCTAGAAAGAAATAACAAAGATGTGAATGGGGGCTGTGAGAGTCAGGATGCAGAGGTAGCTGATGAAAAGAGCTCTCTAAGACCTGGAACAGGTGGAGTGAAGAGGGAACCAGGCAAGGCCATGGTGATGCTCACTTTCTGATTTAGATCAGTTGGAAGACAGAGGTTCCATTTATAGGATGAGGAGTGCAACACACACCTGGCGTGTTGAGAGGTGTGGTTTTCTACAATTCTAGGCCACCTCATGATAAAAATCTCTGGGAATAAAAATAGTAACATCTACAGCTCTCTGAGCAGTTACTCATCTTTGTGTCCCTCATCTTTGTCATTAGTATTCACCTTGGTGATACCATTATCCACACACTCCTATTTAAATATTTGGGAGTCATTTACCTGCTAATTTTACTTATAAAGCACGTATCAAGGTGCCAGAATTTGTGCATTTGACACTCAGGATGTCATTTGCTCAGTGTGACAATCCTCTGTGTAGCCATGGACCATGGCCTTGATTTCAGAAGTGTGCTTGTCAAGTCCCAAGACTTTGTTTTGGATAGATAGTCACAGAACTGGATTATTCACGTGCCTCTCCCACCCGTTCGATTGTGAGCTCTTCAAATATGGTACAAGAATCGTACCTTTGGGTCATGTTGGGGGTCCCAGAATTCTGCAAAATGATTGGCACATGGCAGACATTTAGTAAATATTTGATGATTATAATGAATGAAACTATGAAATGATTCACTTGCAACTTAAATCAGACCTGTGGATTATGAGAATTTCTTAATGTGAAAGTTAATGTTATGTATTAGACAACATTAATTGTTGTGCACAAGCACCAAAATAAGTGTTGCTTTGCTTTGAAATGATTTCTTTTTGCCAATTAAACAATATGAATATCCACTGACCTCCTAGTCAGATTGTTTTTAAGCAACTTAGACTGGTTCACTTTTCTTTTCCCATCCCACTTTATGTTATTCTTTGATCACTTGATCATTTGACTTCTTGGCAGCATTTCATCCCAGAATGCCTACCTATGGCTAGAAAAGGACATGCAACCAGCCATGTGGTATCACTTGCCATGGGGGATCCTGAAACTAGGCCTCATTTCTTTACTGCATCTATATGTTGCTTCTTCCCTCGCTAATAATTTATAGTGTGATTTATGCATTTACAGTATGAAGATGTGGAAATTACCTCATTTAAATGCTTACCCCTCTGTCTTGTTATTTCTAATAGGAGATACTGGATGCTCTACAAAAAGCAGAGCCTAAGACAGAGGATCTCAAGTCTCAGCTGAATGAACTTTGTCGATTTTCCAAAGACCTGAGTCCATACAGTGGAAAAGTTTCTGCCTTGATTAAAGAATATAATTGGTGAGCATGAACCTTATTGGTATTTAAAATGTTTTAACACAAATAAGAAACTAGAGGTTTATATATTTTAAGGTGTGATTTCAATATTAATAAAAATTAATCATTAAATCCGTTACTAAATAACATGAATGCATACTCCAAAAATTGTTTATTCTGTCAAACATTAATTTCCTTTATCATTTTTTCCCTCCTATTAAATGCTTCCAATCATGGGTTTAGTCTATGTCTGCAAGCATCCAAGGGCTGTCAGAATAAAGAACAGATTTTGCAGCAAAGATTCCGAAGAGCCTTCAAGGATTTCCAGCAGTGGTTGGTGAATGCAAAAATCACTACCGCCAAATGTTTTGATATACCTCAAAATATTAGTGAAGTTCAAACAAGTCTTCAGAAAATACAGGTGAGAATGTTATTAATTCTAATAATGAAGCTTAAGTGGATTAAAAATGTGTCTCTTGACTGTTTTAGAAGCATATTAAAGTTTTGCTTAAGAAACTCAAATTTCAAATAAATCCCTGCTTAAAATGATTGTGTGCAAGAAGAGAAATTAGTCCACTTATATAAATGCATGCTATTTTATATATATTAATAGGGATTTAGGAAATAATGAAAGCTCTTTCTATGTGACAAGCATTGTGCCTGAGTACTCTAAGCCGATTTTTAAATTTAATTTCCACAGTAGACACATCAGGTACAAAAGGTTATTATTCCCAACGTTCAGATATGGTAAAAGAGTCAGTTGGGTAATATATACGATAAAAATTGTTTATTCCTTCTCTGTGATTTTATTGAGAAAGAAATAGAAAATCAATGTATTTTAAAGCTGAGAGCATTTTATTATGTCTACTCTTACATTTTTCTTTATAGGAGTTTTCATCAGAAAGTGAGAATGGACAGCACAAGCTAAATGTGATGCTATCTAAAGGGGAACTTTTGAGTTCTCTGCTGACCAAAGAGAAAGCTAATGGTATCCAGGAGAAAATTGCAAATGCAAAAGAGGATTGGAAAAATTTTCATTCAAATCTTCACCAAAAGGAATCTATCCTAGAGGTATAATATAACCAACTACTTGGACACATTCTGTGTTATTTGTTGGTAGTGATGGTGTTAGTTAAACCACACTCTCAACATATCCAAGTACCCTTGTCAATGATTTTGCTCATCTCTCACTGAACATAAATGAATGACTAGATAACACTTAGAAGCAGCTCAATGCTAGAAGTGTGAGCCTCACTGAGGAATTAAGTAGCTTCTTGCATAGTAGGGGCTATTAACCTAGACTGTAGGAACAACCAGTTTTAATTTTAAACATATCACTTAATCTTTCATTTGAAATCCCTTAATTTTGGGAGTTGTTCTAGGAGAATGAACAGAAATATCTCTGTAAGGCTACCAAATGCTATGGATGAGAAGGCATGTTATAACTAATGCAAGTATCAAGTACGTAGTAGATTTTAGGAGTTAACTATGAAAAGCAACAATATTCATACAATTTCATTTTATCTAGGTACAATATAAATTGAATGTATTATAATCATAACATAATTACTAACACAATGCAATTATTTTTTTATGAAGCAGTCTGTTTTATGTACCAACTCTCCTCTTAGAAGAAAATTTAGAGACATGGAGAATATTATTTTTTCCTTTTTAAACAACACTGCCTGGCAAAGGGTGGCTAGTCTTTCATGGCAGACATCCTCCATTTAATAGGGAATGATAATCATTTTGCAGTGCCTAGAAATTTACTCTCAACTCTGTAGGGATTTGTTAATGCAATGTGGTCTGAGCTCTGTTGCTGTGGAGGGTAGTACATCTGCCATTGACCGATTATCTACTTCAAGTGATGCCCAGTTGATGGATAGGTCAGGAATAGTCTGTTTTCCTTCCTTCCATGTTTCCTTCCTTCCTTCCTTCCTTCCTTCCTTCCTTCCTTCCTTCCTTCCTTCCTTTTAGTAAAACACATAATATTGCCTATTATGTTCCAGACCCTATGTTAGGAATACAAAAGGGTTATTTTTTCCCTCTTCTCAGAGAACTCACTTTCTAGAGAAGGGAACAGTACATGAACAGATGACTGCAATATAATGCAGGCATGCTCAGCATATGATAGTCACTGAAGAAGATGCAATTAACTCTATTTGGAGAAGTTGAGGAAGTTTCCAGAGAGGTGAAATCTTAACTGAACCTTGAAGGCTAAACATTCTTTGAATTTGGCAAGGCAGGTGTGCACTTCAGGTAGAAGGACTTGAATGTACGGGTTCGGGGAGTGATGAGTGCCACCTATGAATGGGACTTTGAGAAGTTCCATCCACATGGGGTTTTAGGGGAAAAGCAACAAAGCTAAGACTGGTGATGCAGATTAGGGCCAAATAGTGACATTTTTGTATACTAAGCAAATTGATCTTGAGTCTTGACCAGGTCTGAATAATTAGGGAAAATTCATTTAAAAAAAAAAAAAAGTAGGTCCATAAAAAGCTCTTAAAGCAGTGGTTCTCAACCCTGGCTGCACATTAGAATCACCTGGGAATCTTTTTAAAATCCCGATTTCTGGGCCTCACCCTCCAGAAATTCTGTTTCTTTGTTATGGGGTGAGGCCACAACATCAGTAACAAAGAAACAGAATTTCTGGAGGTTAAGGCCCAGAAATCAGGATTTTAAAAAGATTCCCAGGTGATTCTAATGTGCAGCCAGGGTTGAGAACCACTGTCTTAAAGGATATTCAAAAGTCACACAGGTGTCCTGGCCGGTATGGCTCAGTAGTTGAGCATCGACCTATGAACCATGAGGTCACTTTTCGATTCCCAGTGGTCCCCGTCCTGTGCGCATGCTCCCCGTCCTGTGCGCATGCTCCCCGTCCTGTGCGCATGCTCCCCGTCCTGTGCGCATGCTCCCCGTCCTGTGCGCATGCTCCCCGTCCTGTGCGCATGCTCCCCGTCCTGTGCGCATGCTCCCCGTCCTGTGCGCATGCTCCCCGTCCTGTGCGCATGCTCCCCGTCCTGTGCGCATGCTCCCCGTCCTGTGCGCATGCTCCCCGTCCTGTGCGCATGCTCCCCGTCCTGTGCGCATGCTCCCCGTCCTGTGCGCATGCTCCCCGTCCTGTGCGCATGCTCCCCGTCCTGTGCGCATGCTCCCCGTCCTGTGCGCATGCTCCCCGTCCTGTGCGCATGCTCCCCGTCCTGTGCACATCCCTGTGTCCAGGTGCCCGCGAGCCCCCGGAACTCCATGACGCTGTCTGAGACCGCGCGTCCCCGTGCCCTGTTTCTGGCAGGTGGTGCGTTGCCCAGCTGCCCCTGGAGGTGGACCTGTCTGTGTTTGCAGCCTGTGCTGTGTCCAGCCCGGAAACAGTCACGCCTCCAGGGCACCCCTATTGCTCGCCAGTGTGTGTTGATGTCCGTGCTCTTGGGGCCAGAGCTCCCCCCGTCGGCGATGTGCTGTCCCCCAGCCTCTTACTAGTAACTTGCTTGTGCTTTTCAGTCTGTCCTTGAGGAAATAAACTGCTACGCGCCTCAGCTCCACAGGCTAAAAGAGAAAGCGCAGCAGCTGTGGGAAGGACAAGCTGCCAGCAAGAGCTTTATGCACAGAGTGTCGCAGCTGTCCGCTCAGTACCTAGCGCTAAGCAATGTGACAAAGGTAATGCCCCATGTGCCGTGTGTGAGTGTGGGCCAGGCCACCAGCTGGAGTCTCCAGAGGTGGGGGGTGGGGGGTGGGCAGGGTGCAAGCCCAGGTCAGGAGTAAGGCCTGTGAGTCTACCCCCCGCCTTGCAGTCCGAGTCTCCTATTTGTGCTGCTTCACCTCCGTGTGGGTGTCCAAACAGAGCAGGGAGGGTCCAAGACGTGCAGAGACTTCCCGGTCTCCACAGCGCACAGCATATTCCCTTTCTACTGACTTGGCACCTTCGCTGGCATTTGTTTGAAAACCCAGTGCATCGACATGAGGCAACATTCAGTTTGGGGCCTAAGGAAACTTGGATCAAATTACTTTAGAAAAACAAGAACTCAAAGCAGTTTAAATTTTGTAGACTAAATAAAATGAGTTCGGGATCCTTTTTTTAAGTCTGTCTAAATTTTTTATCTTCATTACATAGTACTCAAGGATGTGCTGATTGAGATTTTCAATTCAATCAACAGAGCAGAGCTCAAAACGGGCATTGATTTCTTTAACTGATTAAATTTCTTTTCTAACAGCCTAGAAAGGCATACATGGGACCCCAGTATGATCTTGCTTAGAGCGTCCAGCGGGCAAGAAGCAGACCAGTCTTGAACTTGGTGGGGCAAGCCTACTCAAAGCTTTGTGTGCTTTGTGACATTTGTTCCCTGTATTTGTCTTTTGCATTTCAGGTCTTAGAATGTAGGGATCCTGCTGTAAGTTAGTCTTTTCTTTAATTTGGCTTCCCCCCATTTTAATGTGGACTCACTCTGGTCTGCTAATTTAGATCCTCAATAAAACATCATTGACACAGTCACACTAATATAGACTTGGAGTAAATAGACTATGTTTACACAAACGCTTTTCCTATGAATAAGTTACTCCTTTTGTCTTTAGAAAATCTGGCACACATCTAAAGTTAGAATTCATTAAGGACATCTTTCAATTCCTTTGTATTTATTTAGATACCAAATATCAATAGATGTCTGAATGAGGTAAAAGCTGAAGTTTATATTCACAGTAACCAAACTTGGTTAAAAGCACAGTAACCAAACGTCACTGTGTTGGATATGACTTGTAATCGTCTGAATGAGGTAAAAGCTGAAGTTTATATTCATAAACGTCACTGTGTTGGATATGACTTGTAATTAATGAACAAAATCATATTTATGTCCCCAACTTTTAAAATTTCAATTTTAGATAATTATTTTTTTTTTAGAACTCTTGCTAACAATGTAGGTCATGTGGTATCAGCGGACCCAAATGTGATTATGTGAAAGCTAGAAACCACTTTGATTGGTCTCCCAGATGAGGCAATAGGAAGAAATTGTTCTGATTCTGTTTGGAAAAAAAATCACAATTGTCATCAAGAAGAATAGCAACTAAGTTTAGGGACAGTAAATGGTAATTTTTCTGCTTTTGACCCAATGATTCTCACATCTTTACTATTTAGAAAGAGTTCACACATCTCTCAGATTAATGCAGATTGGCATCCTATCCGTGCAGGGTATGAGCCTATGGCCGATTCTAGTTATTTGAACCAAATGGCTAGCTTGCCAGTTTGAGTAGCTTCAGGCTCTGAGGTCTCTGTGGAACGGACAGTGGGAAACCCATGTCTGTCGTTTCCAGGAGAAAGTGTCGAGACTGGATAGAATTGTTGCAGAACACAGCCAGTTCTCCCTCGGTGTGAAAGAGCTGCAAGACTGGATGACAGACGTGGTTCACATGCTGGAGTCTTATTGCCACCCCACCTCCGACAAGAGCGTGCTGGACAGCAGGATGCTCAAACTAGAGGTACGCATCTTTAGAGAATGTCTCTAATGGACAGGATTTGTTTTTCTCAAAATTTATTTTTTTATCCTCCCCCGTAGGTATATTCTATTCATTTTTAGGAGGAGAGATAGAAGCATCAATGTGAGAGAGAAACATCAATCAGTTGCCTCCCGAAACTGGGGATTGAAACCACAACCTAGGTATGTGCCCTGACCAAGAATCAAACCCACAACTGTTTGGTGTGTGGGATGATGTTCCAGCGAACGGAGCCATCCAGCCAGGACCTCAAAATGTCTTAAGTGTCCATCTGCCTGGTGTTGCTGTGTCACACTCCCGCCACGGGACCTCTTTTCACATAGGGCGGGCTAGCCTCAGCCTTCCTGAATCACTAGGAACAGGTTCCCACATAAATTCTTCACAAAATAAAATAACCCACATGTGGCTATTTGCTCGATAGCCAGTTAAGAGGCTAGTTTCAAATCACATCACAGACACATCTATTCTGAGAAAATATTTCAATGAACCAGTTTATAGGGCAGGACATTTTTCATCTTGTTCAATTTACTTGCCTGCCTACATCATTTAATCAACTCTCCCATCCCAACCTATTAGCTTTATCTTCCATTTATGGCAAAACAATGATTCTTTATTCATTCTTCTCTCCTTCATATACTGGGTGCCTTCTAGGAGACTGTAACTCTGTCTTAATACCAAGGATTCAAAAATGGAAAAAGTATCATCTTTGTCCTCAAGGCTTACCCTGTGGCTGAAGCACAGAGAGCAGTAACAGCAGAGAGGGTTATGGTTATAGGCGCGGAGTGGAACCAGACAGGAGGGATGGGCGTGAGAGCCAGAGCAGGTTTCTCAAGAAGTCGGGAACCTAAACTGGTACTTGAGAATGGTGCCACATGGGCAAAAGCCAGAGTAAACAAACAGTGTGGTGAGTGAGAAGAGCCAGCAGTCCCTTCACGATGGCAGTGAGCGGATGAGGCCGACTGTAGAGTCTGGCAGGTCCAGATTAGGGAGAGAGAAGGAGCTTGCCTTTTAGGTGATAACACCAGTTTTGTAACTTCGATTCAGACTTTCTTGTTAAATAAAAAGATGAGCGCCTTTGAAGAACTTGAAGTACGTAAATTGATAATATATAGAATAAATTATAGCCCTGGCCAATTTGGCTCAGTGGATAGAGCATCGGCCCGTGGACTGAAGGGTTGAGGGTTTGATTCTAGCCAAGGGCATGAACCTCAGTTGCAGGCTCAATCCCTGGTCCCAGTGGGGGCACATACAGAGGCAACCAATTGATATGTCTCTTTCACACCGATGTCTCTGTCTCTCCTCCTCCCTCCCACTCTCTCTAGAGACCAATGGAAAAATATCCTAGGGTGAGGATTAACAAAAGATGAAGAAATAAATAAAATACCGTTCTTTCTTTGTTGGGATAGAGGCCTTCACATTTATAAAGTTCTCCATCCTGTGGCTTTTGAGAATTCATGAATTCCTCTGTAGTCTATTGTTCTCTTAGCAAAAACCAGTAAAATAAAACATTGGTGGAAAGAAGGGATATTCAGAGAGGAGTTAAGAGCTGCAAAATCAAGGCCCCCTGGAGACCAGCAGGTGACAGGTGATTGCTTACTGCCAGTCACCAGCAGGTGACTCACATCCTTCACCTGATCAGCCTGAGAGGTCCAAGGCTCAACACAATTGCACATCATTCTACAATATTCAGGAGCTCTAAATATATATACATATAAAATCTTTATTATTGAAAGTATTACATATGTTCCCTTTTTCCCCCATTGACCCCTCCAGCTCCCATGCATATATGCATACAAGGTCCGTGGTTGATTACCTCCCACTTACTCCCCCTCCCCCACCTTTCCTCAGAGATTCTGCACTCTGTTCCATGCTTCCGTGTCTCTGGAGCCACTCCGCTCATCAGTTAATTTTGTTACTTTGTTTTCACATATGAGTGGGATCATGTGATACTCGTCTTTCTCTGACTGACTTATTTCACTTAGCATGATACTCTCCAGGTCCTTCCATGCTGTCTCAAAGAGTAAAAGATTCTTCTTTTTCACTGCTGCATAGTATTCCATGGTATAAATGTACCACAGCTCTTTTATCCACTCATCTACTGATGGGCCCTTGGGCTGTTTCCAGATCTTAGCTATTGCAAATTGTGCTGCTATGAACATAGGGGTGCATACATTCTTTGTGATTGGCGCTTCGGGTCTCTTAGGATATATTCCTAGAAGTGGGATCACTAGGTCAAATGGCAGTTCCATATTTAATTTTTTGAGAAAACTCCATACTGTTTTCCATAATGGCTGTTATGGAATCTGCGTTCCCATCAGCAGTGTACTAGGATTCCCTTTGCTCCACATTCTCACCAGCACTTGTCATTTATTGATTTGTTGATGGCAGTCATTCTAATAGATGGGAGGTGATACCTCATTATTGTTTTAATTTTCATCCCTCAGATGATCAGTGACTTTGAACATTTTTTCATATGTCTTTTGGCCACCTGTATGTCCACTTTGGAGAAGTGTCTATTTAGGTCCTTTGCCCATTTTTTTTTGTATTGTTTGTCTTCCTTTTGTCAAGTTGTATGAGTTCCTTATATATTTTGAATATTAACACTTTATCAGATATATCTTTGCCAAACAAGTTCTCCCAACCAGTGGGCTCCCTTTTCGTTTTGTTGATGGTTTCTTTTGCTGTGCAGAAGCTTTTTATTTTGATGTAGTCCCATTTGTTTATTTTCTCCTTAGTTTCCTTTGCCCTAGGAGATGTGTCTGTAAACATATTGCTACGAGAGATATCTCAGATTTTGCTGCCTATGGTTTCTTTTAGGAACTTTATAGTTTCACAACTTACATTTAAGTCTCTTAACCATTTTTAATTTATTCCTGGGTATGGTGTAAGTAGGTAGTCTATTTCAATTTTTTTGCATGTATCTGTCCAATTTCCCAAAACCATTTATTGAAGAGACTGTCTTGACTCCATTGCATCCTCTTGCCTCCTTTGTCAAATATTAATTTAGTGTAATGGCTTGGGTCAATTTCTGGGGTCTCTGTTCTGTTCCATTGATCAATATGCCTGTTCTTATGCCAGTACCAGGCTGTTTTGATTACAGTGACTTTGTAGTATAACTTGATATCTGGTATTGTGATTACTCCAACTTTGCTCTTTTTTCTCAAGATTGCTATAGCTATTCAGAATCTTTTTTAGTTCCATATAAATTTTGGGTGTATTTGTTATAGATCTGTGAAATATGCTATTGGTATTTTAATACAGATTGCATTGAATCTGTAGATTGCTTTGGGTAGTATGGACATTTTAATGATGTTAATTCTACCAATTCATAAATACAGTATATTCTTCCACTTGTTTATATCTTTCTCTATCTCTTTTTTCAATGCCCTGTAGTTTTCAGAGTACAAATCTTTTACCTCCTTGGTTAAGTTTATTCCAAAGTATCCTAATTTTTTGTTGTTGTCTTTTGGTGGAGTCTTTAATGTTTTCTGTGTACAATATCATGTCATCTGAGAATAATGTCAGTTTTACTTCCTTCTTTCCAATTTGGACATCTTTTATTTCTTCTTCTTGTCTGATTGCTGTGGCTAGGACTTCCAGTACTATGTTGAATAAGAGTGGTGATAGCAGATATCTCTTAAAAGAATGAGAATAACAGTTAACCTCCAGGACTGTGGGGCAAGGTGTTTTCCAATAGGGTGGGTCAACTGTCTTCCCCCCAGGCAAAACTGCCTGGATAGCAAATGTCTGTGTGATAAAGCTGACCTCAGCAGCATATGGGAATGACTCAGCACAGGAAAGCAGGGTGTCTGCCTTCTGCTCACACAGCTCCAGTCCACTCTGTCCTCCCTCTGCTGGAGCACAAGGTGAATGGCTGCACATGGAATTTTGTGCATTGGCCCCTTTAAGAGGGTGCCTGCATTCCCAGCCACCTTTCCCTGACAGACAGCAACCATGCTGCTTTTCACAGCCAGATGTTTTGTGGTCATTTTTCTCAGTTCTGGTGCTCTATACTGAGGGGCCAAGCTTAGGGATTAGACCCCAGAGTTCTCAGCGGCAACCCCCTACAGCTGAGATATCTCTCCGGAACTTCAGCTGCTGTCTGTGGGAGCCTGGCCAGCCCTTTCCCACCTCAGTGCTTCCTACCAGTCTCTATGTGGTCTCCACTTTCCATCCTTGGTTATCAGGGTTCTCTCCAGTGAGTCTTCAGTTGATTATTCAGGATTTTTTTTTACATTTTAGTTGTAATTCTAGTTTGGTCCTGGGAGCGTGTCTGTGGAGCATCCACTTACTCCACTGCCATGCTGAATCTCTATCTCTGAAATATCTAAGGCCAGAAATGTTAAAGATGCCAATAATAAATGACTTCCATGTTTGCTTTTACAGTCTCTATTATCAGTGAAACAGGAAAAGGAGATCCAGATGAAAATGATCGTGACCAGAGGGGAATCCGTCCTGCAGAGCACGGCTCCTGAAGGCATCCCCGCTCTTCAGCAGCAGCTGCAGAGTGTGAAGGATGTGTGGGCTTCCCTTTTGTCTGCAGCCATCCGTTGCAAAAGGTAAGAGAAACTAAAGCTCACTACTGCAAAGCCGTTGCTGAAAGATCAGTGTCATCACTCACTAGTAGTAGCACTGTGTTCCTGGGGCAGGCGCTCTCTCTCTCCCTCCCTCCCTCCCTCCCTTTCTCCATCCCTCCCTCCTTTTGTTTTCTTTTTCCTTATTAGAACAAAAGAAACGGGCAGGTACAATCTTGCATTTAGGTCATTTGCAATACTATGCCTTGTGTACTATAACTGCATGTTTTGCTTATTGTTGTCACTGCTTAAGAAGGCAAAGGTAGATAAATGTTTCATCATGTAAAGATATATTAGTTAAAATCCAGTAGTTTCCTTGGTAGATCAGCCAGTAGGGGGTGAGAAAGAGAAATGAGGAAGGACAGGCAGCCAAAAAAGGGCGTGTGGGCAGCTGGAACTGAATCCTGCCCTGCAGTGCTGGGAGCCAGAGAGAACATGTGTCTCAGAGTTGCCCCACCCAGGAACAGGGCAGCTGGAGAGTTTGTAAATAAACTCCCAGGAGTCAGGAGGGCAGTTGCAGGCAGCAGGTACAACAATCCCTGGCCTTTCTTACTTATATAGCCCTGAAGCTGAGAGGCCACAGGGACCAGAGTGTGCTCTCTGGCCCAGAGGGCATGGAGCAGGCGATGAGGAGTCTATGGTCAGTGTGCTGCAGTGGGGTGGCCCGGGGTACACCTGGGTTCACTACAAAGCAGAGCAGTAAAATGAGGCACAAATGATCAAGGGAGTTAAAAACATAATCCCCATATTGAGAGAAGGAAGTACTTCATATATATGAAAGAGAAACAATTAGGTTTTAATAATTAGATTAATTCAGGAAATGTTCCCCTACTTTCCCACTGTAATTCTCTGATTTTAAATCTCATGTTAGATAGTTGCCATGCTTGTTCTTGCTCGGTTCTTCCTTCTTTTATTAATTCCTCTTCCCTCTCCCCTGAACATCCTGCTCACATTGATGGAGTTAAGTATTGGTTCTCTCCCTGCCCGGAGTCTTGCTTGGCTCCATAAAAGTCTCACTCAGGGGATCTCTCCCTGCTGTGCCCTAAAGGTGCTCCCAGCATCTCCTGGGACCAGAGTACTGACTCCAGGTTTGATATCCAGCCCCACTTTCTGCCTGGGGTCCTGAACTGCACTGTCCTAGCCTCCTGAAACTGTGTTTGCCAGGTACCCAGCTTTGATAAGCCGGCCCAAGCCTATCCCTTCCTGATCGCCCTGTGCACTTGTGCGGGTGGGGTGGCCAGGGCAGACACCACCCCAGCTTCTCTGTACAGACAGTGTCCTTCCACATCCCTTTCAGTCAACTGGAGGGAGCTCTCTCTAAGTGGACAAGTTACCAGGATGACGTCCGGCAGTTTTCCGGTTGGATGGACAGTGTGGAAGCCAGCTTGAACGAATTGGAAAGGCCGTGCGCAGAACTGCGGGAGAAGACAGCTGCTCTCGAGAAAGCCAAGGTGGGCGTGGGATTTCTTGTTCCAGGTGTTCTCTCGGGGGTTTCCTCAGAATGCCTCCGTCGTGCAAACATGTGATGGCACGGATGGTAAGATCGGGCTTTACACAGAAGGAAATTATTTGGGGCTTGTGCCATCATTTCACATGGCTTCTGAAGCTAGACTTTTGTTTGTGGGTGAAAAGTTTCTCTTCCAGGAAAATCTTGATGACCCATGTTTTATGATACAGATTATTCAAAATTTGGCAACTTGTAATATCTTTAGCTTACTCATTATTAGGAAACAAAATGCTTTCTTCTTACCACTTTTGTAGTTCTACTTTTGTGTACTTTTCATAATGCTCGTATTAGTACAGTACTATAGGTAAAAATTTTTAAATAGATAGGTACGTAGATAAATATTGGGTATGTTCCTAAATCTTTTTTCTAGATAGTAGTATTCCAACAATCACACACACACACACACACACACACACACACACACTCTCACACTCAAATATAGAGATGGATAGATCTATCTATCTATCTATCTATCTATCTACAAATAGATAATATGACATCACTTGTCAACTATATAGCTAGATATCTTAATATTACCCAACTGGCATAGTTCAATGGTTGAGCATCAACCTTTGAACCTAAAGGTCACAGTTTGATTTCCAGTTAGGATACATGCCCAGGTTCCGAGCTCGATCTCCAGCCGGGGGCATGCAAGAGGCAGCCATTCAGTGATTCTCATCATTGATAATTCCATCTCTCTCTTCCTCATCCTTCCTCTCTAATATCAATAAAAATATATATTTTAAAGTATATTAATATCAGTATCCCTGATATGATGGTATATGTGGTAACTCCTTTATTATGTTTTAAATATTCTCTAGTTATTAAATGAAGAAGTGCTGAGTCACAGCAGCTTGCTGGAAACCATTGAAGTCAAAGGAGCTGGCATGACGGAGCACTATGTCACCCAGTTAGAGCTCCAGGATCTGCAGGAACGATATAGAGCCGTCAAGGAGAGAGCCAAGGTACAGGTAACCTGTTCCATGTAGACTCACTGGAGTAGGACTGTTTGGAGCTGTGCTTACTTACAGACTCATTTACTTTTGAAAATGATGGATTTGTGGAAGTGGATAGAAGAAAATTATATAGCAGATAGCAAAATAAACTTTAATACTTTATTATTTTTTTAAATATGTTTTATTGATTTTTTACAGAGAAGAAGGGAGAGGGATGGAGAGTTAGAAACATCGATGAGGGAGATCAATCAGCTGCCTCCTGCACGCCCACAGTGGGGATGTGCCCACAACCAGATACATGCCCTTGACCAGAATCGAACCCGGGACCCTTCAGTCTGCAGGCCGACGCTCTATCCACTGAGCCAAACCAGTTCGGCAACTTTAATACTTTAAATAAACTACTGGAAAAACAAAAAAGAAACTATCAACGTTACTGAAAGAAAATATTTCTCAAATAAGAATTCCTAGATATTTACCAATTTAAGAAAAATTTCGGCCTGGTCAGCATGACTCAGTGATTGAGTGTTGATTTATGAACCAGGAGGTCCTGGTTCGATTCCCGGTCAGGGCACATGCCTGAGTTTCAGGCTTGATCCCCAGTAGGGAGTATGAAGGAGGCAGCCTATCAATGATTTTCTGTCATCATTGATGTTTCTATTTCTCTCCTTCTCCCTTATTCTCTGAAATCAATAAAAATATATATTTTTTAGAAAAGAAAAATTTTGAACAGCATTATAATAAAGATTTATAAATGCCTTAGTGTGGCTGGTACTGAGAGTTTTCTAAAGCAAGGAATCTGCATCAATAATATTGTTCTTCATTTAGGCCTCACACATAAAATAAAAGTAACTTTCACAGCACATCTTACTTTATTAGATAAAGTACATGGGAAAATCAGTCCATAGTGAGTTCAAATTCTTACTTAAAATAATAAATAAGAATTTCAGCCCTAACCAGTTTGGCTCAGTGGATAGAGCATCGGCCTGTGGACTAAAGGGTCCCAGGTTTGATTCCGGTGAAAGGCATGTACCTTGGTTGCAGGCACATCCCCAGTAGAGGGTGTGCAGGAGGCAGCTGATCAATGTTTCTCTCTCATCAATGTTTCTAACTCTCTATCCCTCTCCCCTCCTCTCTTTAAAAAGTCAATAAAATATATTTTTTTAAAAAAGAATTTCAGTTTTCTTCATAAGCAAAAGTATATTATTTTTTAAATATTTTCATTGATTTCAGAGAGGAAGCAAGAGTGAGAGAGAGATAAAAACATCAATGATGAGATTCACTGATAGGCTGCCTCCTGTATGCCCCCCACTCAAGATCGAACCTGCCACCCGGGCATGTGCTCTTGACTAGAATCGAACTCGGGACCCTTCAGTCCACAGGCTGACGCTCTATCCGCTGAGCCAAACCAGCTTGGTGCAAAAATATTTTTATGACAAGTAAAGTTAATTCATTTTTTTGGCATGTTGATGCTACCCTTCATAAGGAGTTCAGAGATCAGGAAGTTAACAAAATGATGTTTAAAACTTCTTTTAATCCTAATATTATTTTTAAATATTTTAATATAAATCTTGAAACTTCATTCTTCTAGAAAACCATATTCCAATGATCTAATAATCATGATTTTCTAAAATTCCAACAGAGGATTCTTACAGTCCATTGAAATTGCATGTAGTATGTATTGTATTCCCATTTTACTCATGTTAAATGCTAATGATAGGAAGCAGTAACGAAGTCTGAAAAACTAGTTCGCCTGCACCAAGAGTATCAGAGAGACCTCAAGGCATTTGAAGTTTGGCTGGAGCAAGAACAAGAAAAGCTGGAACGATACTCACTTCTTGAAGGTGATACCCATACTCATGAAACCACATTGCGGGATCTTCAGGTAAGGTTTGTTATATCTTAAAACAAATCACTTTCATTCTGAATATGGAATTATTCTTTTAAGCAATGAGAAGTTGACATGACCTTGAATCCTATACATAGCTGATACATATTAAAATGACACTCTAGAAAAGTCTGATCTAGAACATTCTGGAACTTCAGTAGTATATGCTAGTTGATATCATGTAGCAGGTGATTTAAACCCAGCAAGACTGGGGCTGGAGGAATTTGTTCAGCTGTGATGGTGGCCCCTGGCAGGGTTGGCTAATGGTCTAACTTACAGTGTTGACTGGCTCACCTGCCCGTTGTGTCTTAAAGGATTCATTTAGATATGGTATGCTGCATCTGGAGCCAATAGAATGTGATACTTTTTAAAGTCAAAGTGGTGGCACCATCTGGTTTCAACCAATATCTCCATTGCTGAGGATTTAGGTTCAAGGTCAGAGTCCCAGAAGAAGAAATTAGAGGATCTAGAGAAAGTGCTGGTGCCCAGGCAATAGTCTGTGATTCAGGGCGAGATGGCAGACCTGGTGGGAAAGTGATCCTAACCACTTTACTTATTTACCATTCAGCATTAATTGACTATCTAATATAGTACAGACACTTGGCTGGCTACTGCAGGTAAAAATTATTAAAATACTATTGCTGCCTTCAAGGCACTATAATCTAGTGAGAAATGCAGACTCATTGGTAGGTCATTATAAACAACATGATAAGGGCCGTAATGAAGTAAAGCAAGGAACCCCCGGGGAGCATCAAAGAGGCCTTTAATCTTACCCAGAGAGAGAGGGAGGGGTTGAGAGGTGTCTCAAGAAGGGGCTGCTAAGCATACACCGTGGAGAATGAGGAAAGGCCAATGAGACAGCTCCATACCCTGTCCTCTTTGTGTTGGAACTTACTGGCATGCTGCCAGCCCTCATCAGAATTGGTTCAGGGTTGGGCAAGATGCGCCTACAGCTCGTACAGGTAGAAAAGGCAGGGACTGCGATGGCTATTACTGGCATTTAAAATTCCTGGCTATTTTGCCCGGCTGCCATGGCTCAGTGGTTGAGCGTCGACCTATGAACCAGGAGGTCACAGTTTGATTTCCGGTCAGGGCCAGGTGCCCGGGTTGCAGGCTCTGTTTCTGGTGTTGGGGCATGCAGGAGCTAGGCAATCAATGGTTCTCTCTCTGGCCATTGATGTTTCTCTCCCTCTCCCTTTCCCCGAATTCAATAAAAATATTTTTTAAATTAATTAATTAATTAAATTTAATTCCTGGCTATTTCAAGAGGTCTCAGGGAGTGTCGTAGGAACACAAGGTTGGGATTAGGAAGTTTGGACTATTATCCTTGGTGAGACTTGACAGAGTGACTTTGGCAAGAGGAAACTTCTTTGACTCAGTTTTTTCCACAGAGTTGTTACGTGAGATAGGGGGAAAATACTTAAATGGTGTTTCATTCCTGAAATAATATATAGTAGAAGTCATGATTTCATTCATTTTTTAAGGATCACATCCATTCTGTTTTAAAGTAGCAGGATAGTGGGTCTGCCAGGTTTAGCTGGTGTAATTTATTTTAGGAGAGCTGACCGTGTTTTTGCTGAATAACCCCTCTCTGCACTTCTCTCCAGACACTTGGCAAAAGCAAATGCTGAGCTCTCTAGGCTTCTGTGTGGGAACTGGGCCAATAAGTTCCTTCTCACCAGCAGATGTTTCTCTTGTTCCGGTCGGAAGGAAATGCTTCCCTTTGGTCAATAATAATGTGGCCCAAACCCAACTCCCACCGCTCGGTTTGCCATGCATTAATTCTTACATTGTCTTATTTTGAGTCATCACAAATGTTGAAAAGGGGGTAAGGTGATAGTGGCAGAAAAAGGTGGTGGAGGATTGTGATGTTCAGACTGTCCAGCAGACCGTCTTCAGGATCTAGATGTCCTACAACCTGCCCGGTGGTGTGGGCTCGGCCAGCAGTGCGGACCAAATTCACAAACTTTTGTATAAGCCAAAGGCCGTTAGAACATACAGACTTTTAAACTATTGGGCCATATTTTTCCCCTCAGAATGAAGACTTAAGATATGGGACATATAAGAATTTATATAACGCAGTGATGATTTGTATAATAGCAAGAACAGCTATAACATATGGAATGAGTGATATGTTGGGAAGATTAATAACTTAAGGCAAGGATGCATAAACGACAGCCCAGAGCCACTTGTCTGTATTTAAAATAAAGTTTTACTGGAACACAGCCACACCCATTAATTTATGTACCATCTGTTGCTACTTCTGAGCTATGATGGCAAAGACTGTATGGCCCAATAAAGCCTGAAATATTTACTATCCAGCCCTTTACCAAGAAAGCTTGCCAACTCCTGAATTAAAGAGGGAGATTGAAAGTACAAAATTAACTTTTAAAATATTTTGAGAACTTTGGAATAAAATGTCTGTGTTTGTAACTGTTTTAATATTTCACCATATTGTTTTCTTCCATCTATGTGTTCACATTATGACATTCTTAAAGTGAGATCTTAGCTAAAGAAAAATTTATCCATTTGTTTATACCAAATGAGAGTGCTATTTTTTTATGTAAAAATAGTCATATATCAGCAATTTTAAATGGTTTGAACTGATACAAAATACTAGAGGCCCGGTGCATGAAATTCATGCACTGGGGCGGGGGTTGGGGGTGTCCCTCAGCCCAGCCTGCACCCTCTCCAATCTGGGACCCCTCGGGGGATGTCCGACTGCGGTTTAGGCCCAATCCCACAGGATATCAGAAACTTCAAATGGTTTGAACTGATATGAAATATTTTTGTAATCCTGTATTTTAACTAAATATTTCAGTACTTTTAACACACATGGTGAGTTTTGACATGGCTCCTTTCAGCTTTAGTTGATCAGATCAAGTATCTGTGTTGATTCTTGAAACATAAGAAATACAAGTATATAATATTGTCTTGCCAATATCTTTTAAAATATTAGATTTTCTTTCTATAAATTATAGTTTATGCTCTTCAAGAGTTGGTTCATACTGAACTGGTAGGGTGATTAACACTTATGCTTTGGTGGAGGAAAATGTATTTGCACCTGGAGCATTCCATTGGCAGGTGTGACCATTCTAACCTCCCAGATTTGCACACCCTGTTACCCTCTGGGCCAACTTTTCTTGGCCACCACACTCCCGAGAGCTCAGCTTTGGCAAAGTGTCTCTTCTCAGGAAAAAGGAGGCCCATTGTTCCTGTCTCAACCAGAACTGATTTCATTCAATATCAAAGCAAGGGGCCTACGGCTCTTTAAACAGATTATGAGCCGTAAAAGGCCTCGGTTCTTCTTTTAAACAATAGCCCTTTAATCACAAGTGTTTTTGCTTAAAAGCTGAAAAGTCAAATTGCAGAAACTCTTTCTAAGATGATTGAGATAATTATTTCTAATTGTGTGCTGTGTGTGTGTGTGTGTGTGTGTGTGTGTGTGTGTGTTTATTATCTTAACAGGAAATATTTGCAAATCTTTCTCCGGACTTGGGGAATAATTTTAGTGTTGGGTACATGCTGTTTTATATAAGACAGAATAAAATCACTCTTTTCTGACATGAAGTTCCAGGTGGCACGGTTGGCTGGGGTGAGCCACCATAGGCTGTGCAGGTGTGCCATGTGAATGCCTCTCCCCTGCAGGAGCTGCAGGTGCACTGCGCCGAGGGGCAGGCGCTGCTGAACTCGGTGCTGCACACCCGAGAGGAAGTGATCCCCTCGGGCCTCCCCCAGACGGAGGACCGGCTGTTGGAGTCTCTCCGGCAGGAGTGGCAGGCTCACCAGCAGAGACTGTCCGAGACCCGGACGCAGTTCAATAATGTCGTCAACAAGCTGAGGCTGATGGAACAGAAGTTCCAGCAGGTGGACGGGTGGCTGCGAGCCCTGGAGGAGAAAGTGAGTCTCCGGGCTGGTTGTCAGTCCAACCGGGCAGCCAAGGAGGCGCAGTTACATCAGATGAAGGTACGTGCGCAGGTTCCTGATCTGGCTCGAAGTAGCAGTTGCTTCGCAGAGCGGGTTTCATGAAGATATGTAGTCACTTCTTTTCCGTCCCAGGTTTAGATTTTGCAAAATCTTCTGCTTGAAAAGAAAGTTAATGTAAATTACAATGGGGCATTCTAACACCAATTATGAATAGAGTCCTAAATGAGTCTTTAATGAAATATAACTTAATGAAATATTTTATATCTGTTCCTCACGCCCTATTACCTTGCTTTGTAAAGACATATAAATGCTAGTATTGCAATCCATTTAACTTTATGTTTCTGATATGAAGTTATTCCAATATAGTGCATTGAAATAATACTTGGTATTTAGTTTTATTCTGATTTTTATGCAAATCTGGTGCACATTATCAAAATAATGCGTAGGCCTTCAGGATGTTTTTCATTATTCATCTATTTTAAAATGTGTCCACGTACAGCAGAAGATATAAAAATGTATGCCACTCTGCTTTAGCAATTTTGAGCGGAAGTGTAATATATACAGAGAAGTACTTAAACTCAGAGTATAGCTTTTATCATGTTATTATATTTTTCATGAAAGTTATATATGACACATTTTCAAAATTACATCTCAGAATAAGTATATTCTAAGCATACAGTGGAATCATTCCCAATTAATACAGTTGTGTCTATGTACAATTTTATATATTTCTTGAACTGAAGTGTAATACATACAGAAAAGTGCCTAAATCAAGAGTGTGTACTTTTTATCACATTGTTGTAGTACACTTTTCTTATGAAGGTTAAGTACATATTTTCAAAATTATATCTCAGAATAAATATATTCTAAATGTACATTGGAATCATTTCCTATTAAGAAGGTACCTATATTTGTCTTCCTCAACAATGCTTACTAAGATGAAACCTTTCCCTGCAATATTGATGTCATTTCAGAAGTGGCACGAAGAGATCACCACCTACAGAGACGAAGTGGAGGACGTGGGAGCCAGAGCCCAGGAGATCATGGACGAGCGCCGCGTGAGCAGCCGGCTGGGCTGCCAGGCCACCCAGCTGACGTCCAGATACCAGGCCCTTCTTCTCCAAGTGCTGGTGAGAGAGTGGGCCGCCCGCTGCTGGTTTCCTCCTTCCACTCCCTACCTTCCGGGGAAGATGCACACGTATCACAAAGGGCACTGGCGCGGGTCTTGAACTCACAGTTCCATTTTGTTTCTTCTTTTCAAAGGAACAAATAAAATTCCTGGAGGAAGAGATCCAGAGTTTGGAGGAAGCTGAGTCATCTCTAAGCTCCTATTCTCATTGGTACAGCTCGACTCATAAAAACTTTAAGAATGCGGCTGCCAAAATTGATAAAGTAGATAAGGCGATGATGGGGAAAAAGATGAAGATGCTGGAGGTAGGCATGGCAACATCAGACTTGTCTCCCAACCTGCCTTCTTTCACTGAGCTGCTCCATTCTCTCATGTAGCTGTTGGGAGACACGTGCTTATCCCTGCCCGGTGTGTTGGGTGGCTCTTGGCTCATCATTTCACTGAAGTACTATGTTCTTATCTCTTCAAGGCCCAAAGCAGACTTTCATTTATTGGTGATGGGATCTCACCTGAATGACTTGGACATGGCTGCTCACGAAATTCTTAACTAAATTCCAGTCTAACACTTTAAAAATTTAAGACCAGAAATTTATCTCAAATTGATGGCACCATGCGTTAATAGCTTTAACTCAGATCTTTAGGATTATTACTAAGGATAAGATAAACACCCAGTCCTATCTTGAAGCACTGATTTGGAAATGATCTATTGATTAAGACATTTTAAAACCTATATTGATGTAAATAAAAGAGGATTCCTGATTCCTGGCATGTCAAAACTGGTTAGAAACTCCAAACACTTTTCTAAGGGGCAATAGTGGACTCGAGAATGGGGTTTGTACACCTTTTCTTTAAAAGGAATGAAATAAGGTTAAAATGTCCATGTTACTATGAAATTCAAGTTGCTTTTCCTTGTATTAAGCCAGTATTTGTTTCCTCCCCTCTCTTTCTTTCTCTCTCTCTCTCTCTCTCAGGGCCTGCTAAAAGACATGGAGAAAGGCCACAGTTTGCTGAAGTCGGCCCGGGAGAAAGGAGAAAGGGCTCTGGCATACCTGGAGGACAGTGAGGCAGACGCTTTAAGAAGCAAGATCCATGGTCACGTGGAGCAATTGAACGAGCTGACCAGCACTGTTCGGAAGGAGCACATGACCCTGGAGAAAGGCCTTCATTTAGCAAAGGAATTCTCGGATAAATATAAAGCACTTACTCAGTGGATCGCCGAATACCAAGAAATCCTGCATGTTCCTGAGGAGCCCAAAATGGAATTATATGAGAAAAAGGCTCAGTTATCTAAGTACAAGGTAGTGTGTTGTTACTCACTGACAGTTGCAGGAGTTGCCTATGGGGACTGAGTGGGTGGGAGAAGATTCCTGTGTGTCCCGTAGTGGCAGGTGGAAAACGTTTGTAACATGTCTGTTCTACTGGGGGAGAGTGATGTAGATTTTTGTGGCCAGATACACTACACAAAAGTTCTATTTCCATCCGGGAACCACATTTGCCTGGTAGTCAAAGGTTGTATCAATAAGTGGAAAGCTATTCTCACTTATAAGAAGCAATCAATGAATGCAGAAATAAGTGGAGCAACAAATTGACGTTTCTCTCTCTCTCTCTCTCTCACTCTCTCTCTCTCTCTCTCTCTTTCTCTCTCTCTCTCTCAAATTAGTATATAAAAATTAAAAGCTATATTAGCCGTAAAGAAACCTATTTCCTTTCGTGTTTAACAATCATAGACTTGTAAAATAGGTCTTGATTGGAGATCATCTCACATGTGGCATACGGGTATGTTCACCTTGATCACACAGATGAGCTGGTTCTCTCTTTTTTCTTTGTAATTGAAGTCACTTCAACAGACGGTGCTGTCCCATGAATCATCGGTGAAATCAGTGAGAGAGAAAGGTGATGCTCTCCTGGACCTGGTGCAGGACGGTGCTTTGAAGGATAAGATCGCTAAGCTTCAAAGTGACTACCAGGCCCTCTGCAGCGCGGGAAAGGTAGGGAGGTAGCAGAAATCCAATACGAACATGTTCACTTGCCAGAAGGGGGGTCCTGACTCCTTTTTCTCTGTCAGAAAAATGTAAGGGCTGGGATGGGTCAGGATCTTTTCTTTTATTGGATGGCATGATGACTTTTTCTGTTTTATCTGATCCTAGTGGTGAGACTAGAGCTGGCTATATGAGCCTTCTACCCTATGAGTTGCACTGGGTTTTTCAAAATATAAAACAGTTTTGAGTGTGTGTTTTTTGTTTTGTTTTTGGCTTGAAAGTCAACTCTAATGGGCACTTGGCTTCACAGGAGCATGTTCACAGTCTTGAGGTGAAGGTCAAAGACCATGAAGACTACAACAGTGAGCTTCAGGAGGTGGAAAAGTGGCTGCTGCAGATGTCCGGCAGGCTGGTGGCCCCCGACCTCATGGACACAAGCAGCCTAGAGACAATCACCCAGCAACTGGCCCACCACAAGGTAAGTCTAGTCTCTAAAGAGCTGAAGAATACAGGACAGCTTCTACAGCCTTGCCCGTGTGTGTGTGTGTGTGTGTGTGTGTGTGTGCGTGTGCATGCGTGCGTGCATTTCAGGATTATATGATTGTAGTTAAAGAATCAGGTCTGAGTTCCAAGAACCTCTGATAATTGAGAACAGTTGAATTCAATATTTAATTGACTCGATAGTAGCTGAATCCTGGCATTCAACTCTGAACACACTAGCATTTTTTCCCAGCTAATAGTTTCCTATTGCAGAATTTCATCTATATGGAATAATTTTTCAGAAAGATGGTCTTTAATTTAGAAAAGTACAGCCAACTATAGGTTATAGAAAGAGTAACCCGAAAGTCTGGCTTCTGGCTTCCAGCCAGACTCTCTCCTCAGCTGGGAGAACTTAACCTCTCTGAGCCTCCTCCTCTTCTTCCCCTTTTTACTGAATTTATTGGGGTGACACTGGTTAACAAAGTTGTACAGGTACCAGGTACACACTTCTGAGTCTCCTCCTTCTCCTCTGTAAAGGGCGATAGTGATACCAGCCCCATCACATAGCTGTTGAGGGCATCACAGGAGATAATGTCTGTGAAAACTTTTGTAAACCACAAATGGTGCTGATAGGAGGCATTCTTATTTTCATTCATATGCATTTTTAGTAATTCCACCTGCCAGATGACAGATGTCATATGGTCACAATTTAATGGAGCAACTTGCTGACCTTAATAAGAAACTGAATTTTAGTTATGATGTGTCAAAGAAAGCCATTAATGCCTATGGGCTTCAGGATCCCTGTCTGTAGGAGAACAGTAAATATGGATAGAAAACTAACTATATGATATATTCTAGTAGGCACTGAGAACACACCCCGAATAGCCTCATGATGCAGTGACTCTCTTCTAACTCAAAGACACAATGGCTCATTAAAATATGGTGTAGACAAGAACCATTCACGCAGCACCATTGGATGAAGTGATGGACCCCAGGCTGCTGAGGGGACCACTAGGTTTCCCTTAGAGATACTGATGTGTCAACCCCGGGCACCTGGTGCTGAATGTGTCACTAGTTATTGGTACCATTTAGCAGTGAGGATATTAAACCCTGATTGGAAAAGCTGCTTCCTCTTCTCTAAGTCATCCATGAGAAAACTCACTAGAGAACACATGGGGATAGAGGTGGATGAGCCAAGGTCAGGCAGAGTGGGTCCCAAGCCTGGGGCTCTGCCATTCACTAGTTGTGTGACCTTGAGTGCGTTAAAAAATCTCCCTGTGCGTCAGTCTCCTCATCTGAAAAGCAATGACAATAATACACACTTCTGAGGACTTCGACATAGTTCCTGGACTATAGCAAGTACTTAATAAGTGGTAAGTGGTAAATGTTATTTTCATTAATATAAATATTATGTTATGTAAACTAGATATTATGTAAATTAATCATTAGCTGTTAGATTATTATATAAATCAGATATCATATTATTAGAGAAATTGGATATTAGTAAATTAAATAGTAATTAGATTTTAGGAAGAAATTATACCAGAATTATAATTGATAGAGCTGAAAGATTTATAAACATCCTTTATCTGTTAATAATACTAGGGAGCAGGTATCTCTCTAGCTGAGATCAGCCATGAACTAGCTGAAAGGTTACTTCATCATCACTTAATCTATTATTTTTGCCAACTCTTCCTATTGAAGGATTCCTGAAACGTACTTTTTTTTTTTTCATTTGCTATATGGTAATCAAGGTAAATTGCAAACTCTTTAAAAAATATCATTAAACAGTGAAATTTTCCTCTTAGGCCTTCTGCTTAGTAAATAGGTTATTTAAAGACTAATAGTGGAATTGCAAGAACTCTGTTCCTATCTTGTAGGCAATAATGGAAGAAATTGCCGGCTTTGAGGACCGTCTGAACAACCTGAAAGCTAAAGGCGACACTTTGCTCAGCCAGTGTGCAGAGCACCTCCAAGCGAAACTTACACAACACGTGCAGGCGCATCTGCAGGGCACAAGGGACAGCTACTCTGCCATCTGCAGCACCGCCCAGCGGGTGAGCACCACAGTTCGGCCTGGAGTGACCGTGAAGCCAGGAGGAAGCCTGTGCAGTCCAGAGGGTTGTAAAATAGTTTAGATGCTTCAGCCTTCGGGATGGTTCTGGTGCATGTCCCGAAAGGAGCATAGATTTCAGGCTCTGTGGACACAGAACTTCTTGCTTTCAGACATTTGCTTTCTCCTAATCCTTTTATTCCATGAATTAATGTCAAATTTATTTAACTTTTGTTTGTTTTTTTATTTGACAATCACCAATATTTTTTCTAAGTTGCCAGTCTATAACACTAAAATAATTTCCAGAAGAATTTTTTTTAACTCTATGCAGCCTAAATTCTACTCTAATATTTTTATGCATTCATAAAATAATAAAAAGGACAAGTACCAATTTTGAGTTATATTTTAATATAGTTATATTTAGCATAAGTTAGTTATGCTAAAATGGAATCTCTAAGGTTATAGAAATAAGATTAAGATGAGTAAGAATTGCCCTTTTAACAAAGATTAAGTATACCAGCTTAGGGAAATTTTCAGCCATTATTTATTTATTCAAACAGGTTCCTGATCCCTTTCATTTTCCTTCTGGTACCCCTACAGTGCAGATGTTGTTGCACTTGATGCTGTCCCGTAGATCTCTTAGACTTTACTCATTTTTTAAATTCTTTTTTTCTTTTTGTTTCTCTGCTTAAAGGAAGAGGGAGAGAGAGAGAGAGAAACATTTATGAGAAAGAAACATGGGTCAGGTGCCTCCTGCATGCCCCCTACTGGGTATTGAACCCAGACCAGGAATCGAACCTACAACATCCCTGTGCATGGGTTGACCCTCAACCAACTGACCTACAGCAGCCAGGCTATAATCTTGCTCTCTAAATCACTGATTGGATCCTCTGCCCCATCTAACCTTGTCTCACTCCTTTTTCCTCCTTTGTCATCACCTACAATTATTTGTTGGATTACTTTATTCTTCTTTTTAGTTAACTTTTGGAAGGTGAATTCCCAAGTCTAGGGAATCAACAGATTTCACCCAGCATTTCAGTTAGAGAAATGTTGTTTATCTTTTCATGACATGGCCTTTTATTTTTACTTTTAGTTTCTAGCTTAAACAAAAACTGCAATTTGTATACCATAATGGAGAAGCTAAAAACCCTCTAATTTTTGTTTGACAATCTACCTCAGTGATTTTACGTATCCTAACACGCCTTACAGTTCTATGAACTTGCCCACGTTCTTTCCCTGGTCAGGATTTATATCGTAATGTGTGGTTTGGGAAGTAAACTGGGGATGGCAATTGTGCTTTGCCACCTTTGGAACATATGAAAACTCGGTTGATATGTGTATGGTACTGGGGGGTTCTGGGGGAGGGGGTCCATTTCCGTGGACTGGTGGATGTGTTTCCTTTGATCCCAGGGAGGTGGGCAGGCGTATGAGACAGCTCTCACAGCTGCGCACAACTGTTCTGTTGCAGGTGTACCAGAGTTTGGAACATGAATTGCAGAGGCATGTCAGTCGCCAAGACACGCTGCAGCAATGCCAGGCCTGGCTTTCTGCCATCCAACCTGATTTAAAGCCAAGCCCGCACCCACCTCTGAGCAGGGCAGAAGCCGTGAAGCAGGTACTGACTCCTGAAGTTTGTTATGTGATGTGATTCATTCAGACATTCAATAGAAACATGTTAAGTGCTCATTATGTGCCAAACTGTGCTGGCTGCTGGGGATACCAAGTACAGGCATACCTCGTTTTATGGGACTGTGCTATCTGGGCCTCGGAGATAATGCGCTTTTACAAATTGAAGGTACAACCTCCTCCAGCAAGAAGATTGACTCACTGAAGACTCAGATGATAGTTAGCTTTTTTTTTTAATCTCTGAAAAATGGATATTTTTTCCATTGCTTTTCAGAGAGAGTGAAAGGGAGGGAGGAGAGGGGAGAAAGAGGAGAGAGAGAGAAAGGAGGGAGGGATCTCAGATGATTCAGGGGGGACATGTTGTTGTATTGTACTTGCAACTTTTCTGTACCTTTGTGAAGAGAGGGAGGGAGGGAGGGAGGGAGAGAGAGAGAGAGAGAGAGAGAAACATTAATGTGTGAGAGTCTGGGATTGAGCCTGCACTCAGGTATGTGACCAAAAATAGAACCTGAGACCCTTTTGTCAATAGGCCAATGCTCTAACCACTGAACAAAACCAGCCAGGGCAATGGTTGGCATTTTTTAGCAATAAAGTTTATTTATATTTAGTTAAGGAGTGTACATATTTTAAACATAATACTATTGCTTACTTATTAGACTATAGTATCAGGTAAAATCAGGTAAACTGGAAACCAAACAACTTGTGTAATTCACTTTCTTGCAATACTCACTTTCCTGAATTTGCAGTATCTGCAAGGTATGCCGGTAGAAATAAGGTCTGAGTTTGACTCTAGCCAGTGGCTCGCTCGGAGATGTGACTGGAAAGTTCCACTACTGCCAATATGACGACTTTGGATGGTGTGAGACTGGGGTCAGGCTTTGATAGGCTATGGTGGCATTTTGGTCAAGGTCCCAGGATGCATGGTGTGTGCCCAGTGTCTCCCACATGGTAAACAATAGACATGTAATGGTTTTATCCCCCCACGACCATACAAAAGTGGCACACTGATTTGATTTCATTAAGAATACCATTGATTTTTTTTATAAGGCATGACATGTGAATTTGGGGAATGGAAAAAAAGTACTATCAGATTTGCCCTTTATTTTTTTTTACTCCCCTTAAAATTAATTTTAGCAAAAATCTTTGGCAATTGTTTTGTTACTGACAATCTATAAGCTGCTCCCAAGGCATTTGGAGTCAGGTCAACTATATAAATCTTAATTGTTATTCTTTCTAAAGTAAATATATTTACAAAATTCAAAATCTGGTACCTTATTCTCTTCTCATTTCCAAAAGCTCTTTGGGACTGGTAACTTTTTCTGGGTCACAGGTACGTAGTGGGGTGACTAACGATACCAATACTCACCAGAAGTGAAATGCCAGTCAGTTTGTACACTGGCTAAAAATTTAGGTGCTACTTTTGACTTAATGGGAAATGGACTTATATTTATTGCTAGAGGCCCGGTGCACAAGATTTGTGCACTGGAGGGGGGCGTCCCTCAGCCCAGCCTGCACCCTCTCACAGTCCGGGACCCCTCGGGGCATGTCCTCCTACTGGCTTAGACCGCAGGGATTGGACCTATACCAGCAGTTAGACATCCCTCTCTCAGTCTGGGGCTCTCGCAGTCTGGGACCCCTCACTCTTTACTGCTCACCTTCAGCGGAGGCAGGAGAAGCTCCTGCCAAAGCCACTGCGCTCCCCAGCTATGAGCCCGGGTTCTGGCTGAGTGGTGCTGTGGGATCACACTGACCACCAGGGGACAGCACCTGCATTGAGTGTCTGCCCCCTGGTGGTCAGTGTGCATCATAGCGACCGATCGTTCCGCTGTTTGGTCTATTTGTATATTATGCTTTTATTATATAGGATAGGATATCTACATAAGAATGTTGTGTTTAGCAATCCATGTAATTCTGAGGAAAAGGCAGGACTGAAAAAATTGGGCTTCATTACTGGCTATGATTTTGGAAAATCACCAAATGTTTCCGTAGTCAATGCTACCCGCCCAAATTATCAATACACGGAGTGAGAAGCACTTCTCAGAGCCTCTACTCCCACCACCTCCTTCAGACCATCAGCACTTCTCATCTGCAGTGGTCAACAACCGGCCACCCTTCTGGTCCCTGCCTGCCCCTCTCATAGGAATCTAAGCTCCGTGGGAACAAAGGTTTTGTTTCATGTACTGCTTTATGCCTGTGATCTAAAACAGAGCCTACATACCCGACTATCTTCAAAAAGACACATTTCTCCATGTCCATGTGTATAGAGTAATGATCCACCGGGAAATGCCTTTCTCGAACTTTCTGCAGAAAGAAAGAGCCCAGCCATCTAATTTTCCCCAAACTCCAATGAAGCCTACAGGTGCACAATGACCTTTCTTCCCCCTGTATGTCTCCACACTCTGTGAAAACATGCTAAGAAGCAGGCTAGAGTAACGGTTCTTTCTCTGAAACAGAGAACACTTAGAATGTGAGCTGAGAAGCAGGAAAAAATATAGGAGTTTCCTGGGTGTTTCCTTTTACCAGACCGTACCAGCTTCAACACAATGAAAAGCAAGTGACGGGCAAAGGATCCCTGCCGGTGTGTTTTGAATTCTTCCTGAGAATTACTAATACATGCTATTTACAACAAAGGTTGTATGTACTGAACATAGCAAAATTATTTTTGAAATGTCAACAAGGTAACACAAATGGCACAGAGATGTGCTGTGTAGGGATGGCCTGCGTGTCTTCCAGTCTGACAAGTGTGTCTGTTTAAGGTGAAGCACTTCAGAGCTTTGCAGAAGCAGGCCAGGACCTACTTGGACCTCCTCTGCTCCATGTGCGACTTGTCAAACTCCTCAGTGAAAACCACGGCAAAAGACATTCAACAAACAGAGCAGATGGTAAGGCGTGGAAGCCATTGGATTTGTCTGTTCTCTTGTTTGAACGTTGGGTGAGAAGTTTAAAGAAAATATTTCCTTGAGTCATTCTTGCTGTAAATCTCCTATGGTGATTATAATGAATAGATATTTGAATTTCAACTAAGTCACAGAAAAATGAGCACACTCTGTTCCCAGTGCCACTGAGTTGGACCTGAAACATCTAGGCCCATGGGCCTGCTAATTATTAGTACTTGATTCCACTTCTTTTTTTTCCTTGATTACCATTCTCTTCCTATTTTTCCACTCATTGTTTGTTTGTTTTGTTTTCTCCTTTCCATCTTTTTCTTTGGGTAACACTTAATATGGAGGGTGTGTGTTCCTGCCCCTTGCTTTATGTTAGGGCTGGCAAAGGCCTTCTAAGCCATTGGCAGTGGCTGAGCGTGGTGTTGGGAAGGATTCTGGAGCTGCCTCTGGGCTCAGTGGAAAATGCTGTGATGAATTAGCAGTACTCTCCACAACAGACAGATGGCAGCACAGGGTCATGTGCCTTAACCTCTTTAATACTTTTGGGTTTAAAAGAAAAATAGGACTTGGTTTAGGTTTTTAATATATAAATATTTATAGGACAGTAAAATCACCCAAAGCAAGAAATGTCTCAAAATAATGAAGGTTTCTCTCTTTTATATTATATTTTCAAACCAACTCTGTCTTTAATCCTAATGAAAATACAGTAATTTATATGTTTTCACAGAAATGATTTATTGAAATAAATTATATGGTTTCAAAAGGCAGTGAAGCAGATCTAAAAATATATTTAAAACATTAATAACTCAGTGTTTTATAAGAATTAACAAAAAATGTATAATAGAGAATAATTTGTCTTTTCTCGTTAACCCCAAGCTTGAATTTGCGAGTTATTCAGGTGTTGAAAACGCCAAATGCGAAAAACCATTAGGGCAACTTAATAGATTGTTAAAACTTCTTAAAGTCTCATGATACTGCTGGAAATTATATGGCATGTCTTATACATGAAAAGTCCTTAGAAAACCGAAGTATAAAAAGAAACATCTGCTTTTCTTGAAGCAAAGAAAGAATCCTTTGTGGATGGATAGCAGAGTGTGTGTGTGCATGCATGTGTAGTGGCCCGTGTGCATGGACAGGCTGAGGAATCGCACCTCCGATTCACTGGACATAAATGCCTCCCTCTGCTAGCGCTGACTTTTGTCTCTGTGTTCCCTCAAGATCGAACAAAGGCTCGCCCAGGCTCAGACCTTAACTCAGGGCTGGGAGGAGATCAAGCACATGAAGGCTGAGCTGTGGATTTACCTCCAGGACGCCGACCAGCAACTGCAGAATATGAGGCGGAGACACGCGGAA